AGAGCTAGTTAATAATAAGCCTGAGCTAAAAGGCCAAAAAGTTTATAATTAATATAAGCCTCTGTGTGTTTCTTTGGTACTAAACGGCTGAGGGATTGGGCAGGACAGGAACTTTTAACTACACTCAAGGGTCAGAAACTTGAAACTAGAGGTCAGAGATCTACAGGAAAGTCAAATGAAAGACCTACTAAAAGAATTTAGCAATCAAATGATTCCTGATGGCATTCTGCTACATACAGAGATCAATGTTTTGCCCAGCCACCATCAGAGACACTTCCTCCCGCAGTAGATGGTAACAAATATAGAGACAGAACAATGTGCAGAGAGCGAGAAAGCTTGTAACACCCAGTCCTAAATGGGATGGGATGTCTCCATGAAATCCCCACATCAGGCCTCAGGTGACTCTGCGGAAAAGACCGTAAGAGCCAGTGGGAACAGAGGACACAAAGAAACAAGGCCTTCTGAACATAGCACCATCAACACACACATGAACTCCCAGAGACTGTGGCAGCATGCACAGGTCTGCACAGGTCTGCAAAGGTCTGCACAGGTCTGCTCCAAACTGGGTACCAGATGCCTGTTCTGTTTTGTTTTATAATAATAAAAAAGAAAGTGTGGATTTGGATGTGAGGGGAAGTGGGGGAATATCTGGGAGGAGTGAGGGAACCATAATCAGAATTTATTGTATGAAAAAATCCATTTTCAATAAAAGAAAATGTGGGTTAACTTAAAATGTATGCGTTAGCTAGTAAGATACTGAGCTATTGGCCGAGCATTTGTAATTAATATAAGCCTCAGTGTGCTTATTTGGGAGCTGCTGGTGGAACAGAAACTTCCAACTACAGAAATTGTGCCTGGTACTAGAACTCAAGCCAACTACTCAAGGCTAGGAAGGTCACGGATCTTTGAGGAGAACCTATGATCACTTACGTTAGATGTTTAAATGCTATTTAAATCCATTTAGAACATGTTTCCATTCTTTGTTGATGTAAAGTAGAACTCTCACCTCAAAGGGCAAAAGAGATTGCTAATTCTTGAAAGAAATATAAGTGACCATGACCCAGGAATGCAGATTTAGGCTGGCACATATAACATGCTCAAACATGGAAAGCGTTTCATGATATTCTGTAGTTACAGGACAAAATAAACACACAAATCCAGGCATTTTTTTTTTCAAACACATCAGTTGAAATATCAGTTAGGCAGCTCCCAGCAAAGCGGAGAGACCCCGCTACAGAGTCACAGGTACTTCTCGGTGACATATTTGGCATTGGAGTTGATAGAAGTCAGTGGTCTGCTGTGAACACATTCCAAAAGGTTGCACATCATAGTTGCAAGAAGGTGAGGTCAGATATGGGTGTAAGAATGAAGAACTAGTAAGAAAGCAAAAGATATTCAAGATAATTTAGCTCTCCTAGCATTCCAACTCTCCATCAGTCCATCTGTCTTACAGAATCTTTGTGGGGGAAAAGGGGTGCAAGTGTGCATGCTGGTACACAGTCTCCACGGAGGCCAGAGAACAACCTTGAAATTTCATTCCTCAGGCACTGTCCATCCTCCTTCCTCTCTTCCCTCCTTCCCTCCCTCCCTTCCTTTTTCATTTATTTTATTTTTTGAGAAAAAGTTCTTCCATTGGAGTAAAACTCATGAAGAGGGCTAGGCTGCCTGGGAGGCGGGGAGCCCCCAGGGCATCCGTTCATCTCCACCACTCCAGTACTAGGGTAAGAAGTGCACAGCAGCACAGCCATTTTTTAAAAAGGAGGGGGCGTGGTGGTGGTTCTGGGGATTGAAGAAAGGTGCTATGGAGCTATCTCCCCTGATTCCCAACCTTGTAGAACCTTTAACGGGAGTGTGGCTGTTTTCTGAGAACTTTGGTTCACTTTTATCTGTTGATTTTTCCTTGAGCTCTTCATGTTGCTAACATTTGTTGCTTGTTGTGCCTGGCACTTTTCCCACGGCGTCACGTGAGTTCATACATTCACCTTACCACACAAAGTGCTATTGTTATTCATGTTTAGCAAGAAGAAAATTGAGGCACAAGGAATTTAGATAATTTACACAGGATTCGTAAGCTTGACTTGGAACTCAGGTAAGACAGCTTCCAAGCACTAGATTTTTAACACTAACCTATAACATCTTTCAAGTATTAGTTAATATCACTAACATTCTAATAATAAGTAATACATGAGAATGACCATCGTATGCCCTTGGGACTTCAAACATAATAACCCCAAAGTATGGCGCCGTGACATGCAGTACTTTGAGAAGGTCCCAGAAGCAAGGTCTGTCCTGCCCTCCTTCTTCTCTCTCCAGTTCCCACTTGGATCACAGAGAATAAAACTTCCACCCAACGAGATGGATGATCTTAGAATCCCTCTCTCTAAACTAGTCCTCAAACCTAGAAGGACTCTTTCACATTCCTCCACTTTTCTCTGGGAAGTGTGGTAGGAAATGATTTTTTTTTCTTAACCTACATATTTGAAAGCAGGTCAAAAGGCCCTCATTCCAGAAGTCTTCCCCATGACTCTTGGATTTTCTGCCTTCCTACTTCAGTTTGTCCCTGTCAGATCCTGGTCTTCTTGTCCAATCCTATTTCTCTCAATCCCTCACCCATCCCATCAGATTTAGCATAGAAGCACGTTTCCACAGCTCACTGAGTCGTTGTTTCTGACGGTTATTATCTCACACTTTGTTTATACTTTTATCCTGTAGATCTTTTTTTTTTTTTAATACAGGATATTAGCAAAGAACTCTAGCAATGCCTGAAAAGGTGGTGTATTATTTTTCTTTCATGGTACCAAACAGTGAGCTAAAAGTATACATCCAAATGTCCTTCATGGTCTGTCCTCTTGCTACGAACTTGCATCTGCCTCAGCACTGTTGCCAGAAGCCCTGCTGTAACTTTCTCTCTCAGCACCGCTGCAGCTGCGCCCCCACAGGGCTTTGATACATTCTAACTTTGTTATTCAATTAAGTAGACTTTCTCATTTCAATTGCATCCCATCCACCCATATCCTTGGTATACTGCTGTGATTGTAGACACTGGGAATGTCTTGTCCACTTGCTTCCCGTTCAGTCTACTATAGCCACTGACAAACAAACCAGCATAGTGTACAAGATTTGACCGTGTTGAGCTTTTACTTTGTGGGTCAACATAGTCAATATTAGTTTCTGTATCCTGATCATCAGGTTTTCTGTCTTTCCAAGCACCCTTAAGAGCTGACTGTGGTTTAGAGCTCACTGGGTATACAAATCACACTGAAGGGCAGGCCCTATGCCCAACACTAGATGGCCAATACAAAACTATGGTATTTTTCGAGATTTTATTTCTCATGTTGCTTTGTTTAGGCATTTTTTTATCCTACTGCTCTTTTGCTTGTATATTATGATTTCTGATTTTGTTTTCTGCAGGTTGTGTGTGTGTTTCTGTATGTCTGTGTTTGTACTTTTTCTTTGCTGTTTGTTTGTTTTGTTTTATTGATTTTTTTTACCTGTTTGTTTTCTAAAGAGAAAAGAAGAAGGCATGGATTTCAAAGAATGAGGAAGTGGAGGATGATCTGGGAGAAGATGGGGCAGGGGAAACTGTGATCAGAATATGTTGTGTGAAAAAATTATTTTCAATCTTAAAGGTATTCTGGTTATTCCACAAAAGAAAGAAATTAGACTTAGACAGTATGGACTAAAACCCAATTATTTTTGGATTTCATGATTGGTGATATCAAGACTCAGTCTCTTTCCCCATGGATGAACTATTTCACCAATAAAATATTTATGGTCTTTTAACATATGTATTTAAGCTCTTGCGGTCTTCTCACTCCGAGGATAATTACCATAGGTGACTCTCACTCAGTAGTGACTGACCCTGAAGACCTGATCACATTTCTTACCTCTTGAGTACTTTAAAGACAAGTTTGAGTTTAACCTTTCCATTATAAAATAAGTCCTCTGTTTATGATTGTACCAGTGTCTGTGTGTATGGGTAGATATTTATACGAATTGTTGAAATGTATCTTGTTTTAAATAAGGCCTTAAATTGTTAATAAAGTTAATATACAAATATAATAAAACAATGTACCTAGTTGTCAAAAAAATTCCTTCCGGATGCATCTCTCCAAACATACACCATTCAGCAATAAGTTAGCTCAAATTAATTTCCTTTCTCTTTTCTTGATATTCAAAATGTAATAACTAATATTTCTGATGGAAAACTGAAAAGGAGACCCACTTGGATTCGCCCATACTTTTAACTTTTTACCTGCAGCTAAGGGGAGCAGAGCAGTCCTGGCAAGGGGCGAGCCAGGTAGGTTGGGGCTAAGGGCGGGTCCGGAAGAGGGTTGGGGTTTGGGGCAGGACAGCCAGAAGGTTGGAACTAGGGGCTGGATAGCAAGAAGATTGGAAAAAGTGGGGGTTGGGCAAGGGGAGATAAGAGGGACTAGAGATGAGATTGAGAAAAGGGGAGGACTAGGGCCCCACTGGGCTACGAGGGCGGGGTTGGTGGGCGAGCCGGCTAGGAGGGCGGGATTAGATGCTGACCGGGTAGGAGGTTGGCAGTAGGAGGGGACCAGCTAGCTAGGAGGGCGGGGCTGGGGCGGACCGGTTAGGAGGGCGGGATTAGAGGCTGACCGGGTAGGAGGTTGGCAGTAGGAGGGGACCAGCTAGCTAGTAGGGCGGGGCTGGGGCGGACCGGTTAGGAGGGCGGGATTAGAGGCTGACCGGGTAGGGTGTAGGGAGGACCAACAAGCTAGGAAGGCGGAGCTAGGGCGGGCAGGGTAGGAGGGCAGGGCTGGGGCGGGCCGGGCAGAAGGTTGGGGTAGGGGGCGGGCCTGGAAGGAGGGCGGCTCCGAGGGGCGGGGCAGCCGGGCAAGGGGCGTGGCTGTGGGCGGACCCCCCCCCGGTCGAGGCAGAACGAAGGGCGGGGCGAGGGGCGGGGCGATAGAGCCCCGCTATGGAAGGGCGTGTCGGGGGCGGGGCCGCACGGCGCGCTGACGTCAGAGCAGGCTGCGACGCGGGCGGTGGGCCAGAGCTGAGGCGGCGGTGCTGTGTAGCGGGGCTGTGTCTGGGCAGCGGCGGGTCAGAGCACCTGGCCCAGCGTCGGCGGCTCCGGGGCGGGGGCGCCAGCGGCGAAGCCCCCTCCCCGGGGAGGCGGGGTCGGAACAAGGCCGGGGAATCATGCATCAGAAGCTGCTGAAGAGCGCGCACTATATCGAGCTGGGCAGCTACCAGTACTGGCCGGTCCTGGTGCCCCGCGGCATTCGCCTCTACACCTACGAACAGATCCCGGTGTCCCTCAAAGATAACCCGTACATCACCGACGGCTACCGGGCCTACCTGCCTTCCAGGCTGTGTATCAAAAGGTACAGCGGCTGCTCCGCGCGGCGCATCTTCTCCTCTCACGCTTTTTGTCTGGTCTCCCCGCCTTCCTCCGCTTTCCCCTGTGCGCATCATTTCCTCACCTCCGGGTCCTTAATATTTCTGCTGCCCCAGCTCTTCTCCGGGGGTCCTTGATCCACGAGATAATGATACCATCAGTGGTCATCGTTGCCAATATGATGATCCCCAATAGCCCTTTGCTTTTTACAAAGCGCTTTTACATCCTTTATTCCGTTTGATACTCTCTGGGGATATGGGTTGGATACCCCGCTGACAATGGCCGAACCTTACTTGCTTTGTGTATACCTGAAGCTTTGTTTCTAGACCAGCACTGTGGGAATTCAGACGTGTTGGCCAGCTGAATGCCCATATAATAGCATGCTGTGAGTGTATATGTGGGAAGCCTTGATTCTTCAACCATCTAGCAAATGTGCATGAAGCCTTTGTGAGGTGGTAGGCACGCTACCAGATCCTGCAGAAGGCAGGCATGGCCCTTGTTCCCATGAAGCTACTATGGTCTAGCATGAGTGGCAGACACTAAAGAGATAATTACACAATTACATAATAGTCATTGTGGAAAATGCTGTGTAGGAAAAGCCCTGTAGCAAAGAAAGCTGAAAGGGGCCGGCCAGCCTCCAGCAGAACACCTTGGAAGCCTCTGTACAGGATGGATTTGTCAGTTTAGGTCTTTAAAACCAGAGTCCCAAAAGTCTCTTTAAAAACAAAACAAGCAAATCAAAACATGTGCCTTTAGTTTGCAGAGTAGTCTTCTGTCAGAACCGACTGTGTGTACTAACGTCAACACACTAGCAGAAGTGCAATAGAACACTCCAGGTCACCGGAGTGGCAGACTCTGTGTCCAGAGTGTGGGTTGTTAACTGGCTCAAGCAGCAACCACTTGTCTGATCGTGGACCTTTCCCACGTGGTCTTTCCCCATTTTGTTTACCTTTCCCCGTTTTTGTTACTTTGAAAGTAGTACTGAAGGAATGACCAAGTGGATGTCACAATTGGAGTTCTAATTACTGCTTCATTCCCCAGTGCCCTGTGAACACAATTGCGTAAGAAATCAGAGGTGCACCTTGCCGTGGAGATCTCGGAGAAGGGCAGGCCAGCAGTGAACTGCTGTAAATGTTCTGTTCCCACCTAGCGGTGGTCCTCTGCATTTCGATGACTTGAGTCCAAATCTCAAGGCTGCACAACATTAGCGCTTGAGTTGTTGAGTCAGACACAAGTTAAGCAGCCTGACTCCTGTTAGCAGCTTCAGAAATTTGAGCAAGAGTTACCCTGTTGATTTTAAAGATGAACAGAATTTGCGGGTGCCTAGCTTTTCTGACAATAATGACTTATCCTTTATTGGGGATATTTTCCCCGCAATGTAATCGTACCCAGGTTGGGTCTTTGCCCTCTCTCCTTTCACCCTTCCACAGTCTCCAGGGCAGACTGCGTGTGAAGAGAGGTCCTGTGCGTCCATCCGTTCTATCTGCAATCCCTTCCGGGATGGGACGCGCTTAGAGTGTGCTTAGTTAATCAGGTTATACTGGGTTTCATAAAATGAAAACTTCTGAGGCAATAGGCAGAATGGAGTGTTGATTGCCAAAACAGTCCTGTAATTAGACGCTTCTAGAACATTCTTTTAGTTCCTCCCCCAGTTACAGATAGTCTTTGTGTTTGATGATAAGCAAGATCAAGTCAGTGTTTCCAGATACAAGGTATATTTTATTCTTGATCATTTGAGACTTCCTTGTGTTTTGTCCTCATAAAAATAAAGCTGTGGGAACCATGGGGACTGTTACAATGGCCAGCTATTAAGAATTTCTGATTCAGGACCTGAAGAGATGGCTCTGGGCTTAAGAGCTTTGGCTGCCCTCCAAGAGGACTTGCCTTGGATTTCCAGCACCCACGTGGCAGCTCACAACCGTCTATAACTCCAGTTCCAGGGAATCTGATGCCTTCTAGCCTCTTTAGCCCCCAGGCACACGGGTGGTACACAGACATACATACAGGCAAAACACCACAGACATGAAATGTAAGAATAATTAAATCTTATTCCCCCCAAATCTGATTCATTAACAGTCAAGGCTTTTGTTTAACAAAAGCGGCGATTTTGCTAGAGACGGGTATGTTTAAATCTCCAGTTATGGTGTCTGTCACCTTGTGGTAACAATGCAGAGCCGTTTCCCAAAATTGAGAGCGCTGGAAGCAAGCAGCAACATCTAACACAACTCCTTCTCTTTACAGATGAAGAAACTGATGCCGGGTCAGGGTAATAGACTCTCTCCTGGCCTGTGCTGCCAAGACATCTTAAGAGGACAAAGAGTCCCCACACAAAGTAACCTCCTGATTGTTCCTAAAAGGAATGAACTCATGCCACCTAGAAACAGGTTTCAGAACTTGCATAGCAAAACTGCTCTGGCTTGCCTGCTTGTCTTCAGGACCTTTCCAGTGGGTTCATCTTTGTGTATTTTGCTTCTTCTCGATGCATTGAGTTTTGTGTGTGTTTAACGAGTGCCTCACAGGTATTTTACATTTATGCCCCAGCTAACACTGAACAGTATCTCGGGTAACTGGTCCTGGCAGTTTCCTAGCTTACATAGAGTATTTGTCTGCACACTTATTTCTGTAGAAAGTGAGGAATCTGGGCAAGGGCTCTGCTTCAAAAAGTGATGCAATAGGAGGGAAGAAATAGTAAGAACACTAAGAGCTGATCATCAAAAGCTGTAAGCCCCGGAATTAGTGGAAATGGAAGAACATCACAGACAAACTCAGACGTCTAATCTGAGAAAGGCAGGGCTTCCCTAACCCGAGAATGCTGACACCATGTACCTGGGCGGATCTGAGCTGCATGTTTGTTTACTTTGCAGTCTGTTTATTTTATCCAATGAGACGGTAAACATCTGGAGTCATCTGCTGGGTTTCTTCCTCTTCTTCACCCTGGGAATATATGACATGACGTCCGTGCTGCCGTCGGCAAGTGCGTCCCGAGAAGATTTTGTAATTTGCTCCATTTGTCTTTTCTGCTTCCAGGTGAGTCATCTCACAAACACCGTGCAAGGTGAAGAGAACTTTGTCGGGCTTGCCTGGGCGGGCGACTGCTTCAGACCCTCGCTTTGAAGAACCCCAGAGGGTGCAAGGGATAACTTATTTGCTCATAGCGTCATTATTACACCATATTTGAAATCCACAACATTTCAAAGATAGTGGAAACTGTTTCTGTTCTCTCTCTCTGTCTCTCTCCCTCTCTGTCTGTCTGTCTGTCTGTCTGTCTGTCTGTGTCTCATGGTATAGCCCAGGCTGGCACTGAATTTTTCCTCGGCCTCCTTCTTCATGAGACGCCAGGATTGTAGGCATGTATTACCATGCCTTGCTTTTTTATCTTTGTAGACATCTTGGCTGTAAGATTAACACTAGGATATGAGTTTCACTGTACTATATTATTGGCTAAAGTGTCTACTTCAAACCTGTTTAGAAAGCCTCTTTCTTTGTCCTGTTTAAAATATATGTGTGCCTTGTCTTTGCTGTCTCCACCCTGCCTGTCTTGGGCTGTCTTACCTCGCTGGTGTTGACCTTTGTTCTAAGACTTCAGAGTCACTTTCCCTAGGTCCCTTTGCTGTTGCTAGGATCTGTATAAATGCCCTTAAAGTTAACATTTACTCATTTTCAAACAGGTGTTTTATTTATTCATTTTTATTGAAAATAGACTTTTGTAGCTGGGTGGTGGTGCACACCTTTAATCCAAGCACTTGGGAGACAGGGGCAGGTGGATATCTGTGAGTTTAATGGCCAGCCAGATCTACAGAGTGAGTTCCAGAACAGGTAGGGTTACACAGAGAAACCTCAAACAACAACAATAACAAGAAATAGATTTTTGTTCATACAATATATTTTGATCACCCTGTCTCCTCCTTCATCTTCTCCCAGATCCTTCCAGCCTCCCCACCCATCCAACTTCATGCCTTCTTTCTGTCTCTTTAAAAAACAGTCAAATACACATAAAAACCAGAAAAGAACAAAACAAACAGGGAGAGAAAAAAAGCAAGATAAGTCCATACACATGCTCACACACATGGAAAACCTGTAAAAACACAACATCGGAAACCATAATATACAAGCAAAAGACCACTAAGGTAAAAAATGCCCAAATAAAGTATTATAAGCCAAAAAAAATCTCCAAAAATTACCATCAAGTTCATTTTGTGTTGGCATCTGCCGCTGGGCATGATGGTGGCCTTTAAGTGTTTTGTTTTGCTTTGCTTGAGTATACACCACACACGCACACACACACGCTCAGTGCGACTCCTTTGGCGAAAACTAATTTTTCCTTTGTGAGTGTTGTGAATGGAGATAGCTTCTGGGTTAGGGATGGGAGATCATATCTTCTCCATGCTGGGACTCCATCTGGCTTAGGCCTGTGCAAGCCCTGTGCACACTGCCAGAGTCTCTGAGCTCATATATGCATGCTTCCTTTCCATCCCCTCTGGCTCTTAGTTCTGCAGGGTTTTCTGGACCCTGAGGAGAGGGATTTGATGGTGCCATCCCATTTAGAACTGGGTGGTCCAAGGTCTCTCGCTCTCTGTATAATGTCTGGTTGTGGGTCTCTATTTGTTCCCATTTACTTCCGGAAGAAGCTTCTTTGATGCTGGCTGAGCAAGGCACTAATCCATGGGTCTAGCCCAGTGTTGTTAGGAGTAATTATATTGCTACACTCTTTAAGCAGAGCAGTAGTGTTTGATTTCCCTCCCTGGGTCCATTGCCTCCCTCATCCCAGGTTCTTAGCCACCCAGGCAGAGTCAGGCCTTAAATCCTATCAGATAGTGGTCAGTTACCCCATAACTTTTGAGAGCTATTGACTACACCAGCACATCATGTAGGCAGGGCACCATCAGAGGTCGAAGTGTTCAACAGATCATTTTAAAGCATGAAATAAATAGAGGCCATAAGTACACTGACATTTTGATAATTAAAGAAAATACAGAACACAGAGCAGTGTTGAAAAGGAAAGGCTACTGTCCCATTTCCTCCTGCCAGTCACAGACCAGCACTCTGCACTTGAGCCTGTTCTGCCAGCCGGAAAGGGGAGCCCAGAAACTAACTGCATAGTGTTTTTATTGCGTCTTATATTTCAGAACCTTGTCATTTTGCTCAAAACTTTGGTCCTAAAAGGAAACATACTAGAAACATCTCAAATTTTTTCTTTAGTAACTTCAAGTTTAGTTTAGCAGATAGTTGTTTAATGCCTTATATCCTTCTGGGCCCTGTGATGGTGGGAGTGACTCTACAGGAGTAGTGTGTAGGACTGAATAGAATGCCCGTGGCGGTGAGATCAAGTCACGTATGTGGGAGGGCGGGAAAGTCAGTGCAGGCATTTAAACAGGAAAAATGCTGGGTAGAGGCCCAGCAGCCACAGACAACTCAGCGTGTTCTGGACTGAGAGGTGTTCATCTTTTCAGCTGACCCTGGGGTGGTAGAGGAGGAAGGAAAGGCAGGCGATAGGCAGGGGCCAGACCTTGGCCTACTTTGTTATCCTGCCATTGTGGTGGATCTAGTGGGCGTACACTGGAATTACCTTCCCGTTTGGTAGTGCAGCAAGGCATGGGATGCTTTCCGCTAGATCTGAAACATACCAAATTCCAGAAATTTTAATCTTCCTAGGAACTCTTTACAAGAATACATGCCTCTTCAAACAGAACATACAAAATGTAGGTTTACCTTTTAAAACTTGCAGTGCTTTGTTGACAGAATTCTTTTTTCCTTTTGATACCATAGTGTTTTTTCCTCAGACTCCCGTTTCCACAATGAGGTAAAGTTTATCACTGATCCTGTAATTCCTATCAGTTACTCATGTCGAAATTTCAAGCAGATAAAAGTCACTTGGAACCCCACTTCCACAGGAAGCCACGTGTGATATCGCATTGGCAATAGACATTGCCACCTCACATCCTCCTCTCTGCCTGTCCACTGAACACCTCCAAGCCACAGTGGCCCCTTCTGTGTCATTTCTCTCTCAGAGAGCAGATCCACCATGAAGCTCTCCAGGCCCATGTCACATAAGCACAGGGATTATCCAGAGAATACGGCCAAGCTGGTACGTGCTGTTGGGCCAGCCACCTGTTGTGCTTGAGAGTCAAAGAGCCACTGGCCAGTCGAGTGTGACCAGCAGCTGAACTAAATCTGCGGTTAAGTGTTTCATTACTGAACGTGGACCTCGAGTCTCTGCAGACTGGTTAGGCCTGTTATAGCTGGGTGTCCACTGAGTGTCTGAGCAGCCAGCTCAGAACGCATGTGTCAGCACATAATAGATTAGAATTATAATAAGTCCATTTGACTAAAGACGTGTATCACAGGTGTAACACATGTATTACAGGGACATATAATATGTTAGCAGTAGTCACCTCTAAAGAATAGATTGAATGAGAGGGGTTTATATTTTTTGCAGCATACAATTCTGTATTCTTCAATCATTTTTAAGGGATATATGTTAATTTAGTGACCAGTATGAAAATAAACTCATTTAAAAGTCAGAGTAACCTTGGGAGGTATTATAACAGTATTTGTATTAAAAAACGCATTTTTATTATATAATTTTTTGCTGTGTATTTACAATTTTATATTTAAAAGTAATTATAACTTTTAAGTCTTTAGTGACTGTGGTCCCCATTTTCCTGATGAACTCATGAAGCTTAGTGGCAGCTAGCCCTACAATGAGGTGCACAACTAGGATTCTGTGTGACCCTGGTTGGAAGCCTGGCATCTTAGCCAGATCTCTGAAGAACATTTATGAATTATTCTGATTTCGTTTTGTCTCACTTTGTTCTTAAAGTCAGCTTTTCCTTTTGCAGGTCTGTATGCTTTGCTCAGTGGGCTATCATCTCTTTTCCTGTCATCGGTCAGAGAAAACTTGTCGAAGATGGATGGCATTGGATTATGCAGGCATTTCTATTGGAATACTGGGCTGCTATGTCTCGGGAGTATTTTACGCCTTTTACTGTAACAATGTGAGTGTTCACACTGTCACACTCTATCTCTTACTGTAACAGTGTAAGTGTTCACACTGTCACACTTTCTTTTAGTGTAACAGTGTGAGTGTTCACACTGTCACACTCTTACTGTAACAGTGAGTGTTCACACTGTCACACTCTGTCTTTTACTGTAACAATGTGAGTGTTCACAATTGTCACACTCTATCTTATCCAGGATTTGTTTCCTCGCAGTGGTTTAAATCTACAAATGCACACTTGGCTTACAAATAGAAGAGTCTTGTTTGGGCACGAACTTCAGTTTCAGAAGATTCCCATGATCTCTAATATCTAGTATGGGTTCCACGGTTATTTTGTTACTATCTGGTGGAAAGTATGACTGTAGGTGTGGAACTGCAGCCCCTAGAGAATGCAGCTGCACGTATGTAGTGTAACTGTTACAGGGAGGCTTAGGAGCTCACCCTCCAGGCCAGGCCGAGCTACACAACAAAATCCTGTCTCAAAACCGTGAAGAAGTTCCACCAACCTCACTCCCATTATACTCTTTGATTGTTATATTCCTTTTCTCATCTGACCTCTTTTCCTGTGCCCAAACTATGCTTTTCCCCGAGGAGCAGCGTACCTGCTCGGGATTGTAGCTCTCTTCCCAGTGAATAGTGTATGCCCTGCCCACACCTCCCCTCCCTGTGAAGTGGGTCTACTCACATACAGGCTGCACCCTGGACTCTGGGAATGCTGCAGCTCAGGAGTCTCTGTTAAGGTTCCGAAGCAGAGTCCTGGTCTCTACATGGTGAGAGAGAAAAGTATTAGGGTATCTGGTTTATAAAACTCATTTAAACTTTTTTCAGAGAACCAGGCACTAATTCCTAGAGCCACCACTCTGACTTCAGTTCCGGGGATCCTACAGCCTCTTCTGCCCTCTTTGGCATCAGGCATGTATGTGGTATACAGACATATATGCTGGCAAAACACAATACACATAAAATTTTAAAAAGTATTTCCACTACTAAAGAAAAAAATCATAAACTAGGCTTGAATTATATTATTAACTCTGTGTTTCAGGCCTAGTTACATTATAACATAATATGTAACTAAATATATATGTAATTAAAGTATGAATTGATTGGATTTTACTAGAAAACTGTTGGTGTTTACCCAGAAGCAAATAGCACTATTCTGTGTGTGATTCTGTGTCCTTAAAGGGAAAGTAAGGAAAAACAGTGTGCGGTCACACTCACACTGCTGTCCTGTGCGGTCACACACACACACACACACACACACACACACACACACACACACGCAGCATCCCAGCCCTGACATCTGTTCGAATGAGCTACCCTGACGTCTGTCTGTCCTGCTTTCATCTTCTCTAGACCGGTATCTGAACTTTGGCCTCAGTTGCCACACTCTGGGGTTGCAGGCCCCTGCCACCAGGGTCAATGTTCACCCTGTTCTTCAGCAGCTCCCGGTGTATCAGCACAGCAGAGTTCAATCTTAGGCTCACCTTCCTGCCCCTTTCTGCTCCTTCTCCCCACACTGTTTGCGTTCCTCAAGTCCAGCCTAGATGCCTCTTCCAGGAAGTGTCTTTAGCAGTCCCGGGTAACACTTACTGTTCTTGCCTCAGTGGCTCTGCAGTGCTCTGTCTGTGCCTTAGTCACAGCACTGTTATTACACGGTCATCGTGCCCCAAAGATGCCCTTCCCACAGTCTGAGCTCGGCCCCGGGGAGAGGCCGCGCACAGGCAGCCTGTTTGTACATCTTCTTCGTGCGGAGCGTATAGCAAGTGCTCGGAAAACACTTTTGTACAAATAAGTAAATGTGGTCTTCTACCAGTTCACTGTCAGCTGTGGTTTGTCATCCATCCTAAGAAGCTTTTCAGAAACTTAACCTTTGTATGGAATATTCCTTAGAAGGGCATGGGGATCTTGTTTGGACATTACAGTCAAGTAAACAGAGCCTGTGGTATTTAGTGCAGAGGCCCAAGTGACTGTCTTCCTTTCTTTCTAGTACTGGCGTCAAGTGTACTTGATCACCGTGCTCGCAATGATCCTGGCAGTGTTCTTCGCACAGATTCATCCCAATTACCTCACGCAGCAGTGGCAGAGGCTCCGCCCTATCATCTTTTGTTCCGTTTCGGGCTATGGAGTGATCCCAACTCTTCACTGGGTCTGGCTCAATGGAGGAATCAGTGCTCCTATTGTCCAGGTAGGCTGAGTGTGGTCAGGGGTTTGTTGGGGGGTTTTTTTTGTCCTTAATTTTCATTTCTTGGGTAATGTGCTGTAGTCAGGCCATGTGGGTAGCTCTGAATCCTTTGGGAGCATGTTTTTAGTTTCATGATGAAACATAGTTTTCACCGCTATATAAATAAGCATACCTTTCAAAACCACATTAGTGTCTACTCATTTCTGCTGAGTCACTGTATGAAATAACATCAGTCTTTTTCTGTCTCGGTATGTGAGTACACACGTCGATTCTGGGGAGGACGTCCGAGTTTGCAGTTCTGCCCGCTGCGCTAGTGATAAAGCATAGACAATGGGCTAGAGAGGTGGAGTGGTCGGCTCCTTTTGCTGGAGGAAGAGTTATGGTTGGACATGTGGTGTCAGAGATGTATAAGGGATACAAATAGAAGTAGACACGGGGTTTGAGCTGAGATAGAGTTGGAGACGGGTGACGCATATCTGACGGTAGCATCACGCTGGTCGCTGGAGCTGGAGGAGTATGTTCAACCCGGCGAGAAGAAGAAATGGAGAAGTAGAGGAAAGGCTGCTGATTCTGTGGCTTTGGATCCTGTGGAAACGGGAATGTGAGGGAAGAGCTCCAGGAGGGCGTAGAGCTCTGTCTTCCTGAGCACCACAGAGCAAGTTTCTGTGTCCTTAGAAATGCCTCTAAAAAGGCTCCAAGTATGTGCTAGAGAGAATGCTGGAAGATGTTTAATGTGAGTAAATATGCCAAGGCGGGTGCCAGTCTCGGTGGGCATGGTGCCGCTTGTCTGGACACAAACGCAGTTTGTCGTCACTTCCAGGAGAGGAAGGCTGTCGGTAGGCTTGCGTTCACTGTGGCACAGAGGAAGACGCTTGGTAATGCAGTAACGAGAAGGGTGGTTTGGGGACAGAGTGAGATAGTGGTGTGGTAACTCTTCCTAAGATGAGGAAGGTAACAAGGCTGGTAGGAGTGAGGGGGGACATAACTGTCCTGCTGCGTATGCGAAGACACCATTTTTCTGGTAATTTTGAATAAGTCAGTAGAATGAGAAGCTGCTACCTGTGATTTAATTCTAACTAGAAAAGACTGACTGGTAGTTGACAGAAAAGTGATTAGTTTTAGAGGTGGTAAATTACAGTCAACTTATGATGATAAAAAGAACAAGAACTGTAGAGTTGATAGATTTTAGGAAATTTCGGATATTCCTATATTCACAAGACTTAGGATAGAAAACGGGCGTATAAAGACAGTGGTTCTTAAAAACAGGATTCTAGGAAGAACACTGGTCATTCTAGTTAGGAAGCAGAGGGGAACCTTGGAAAAAGTTCACTCAAAAGCTCTCATTTTTTAAGTTGGGAAGAGATATCCCTCCTAAAGACGGGTACTCCTAATGATGGTTGAAGATGTCTTCCAGAATAGTTAGAAACCTGAGACTGATAACCCTGAAGAATATAGAGTTGGAGAAGGCCAAGATCATTCTCATCTACTTGAGCAGGGACAGAGAAGATGTCTCTATGTCTTACATGAACTGTTGGTAAATTAGGTGTGTAACCAGGGTCAGGAGCAGATGTGTGTCTTAGCTTGCTGACTGTCACTAGAGTCGGGCAGACCTTTAGGCCCACACACCACAGCGAGATTCGTGTAGCAATGCTCAAGGCATTTCCCTGGGATGTGGGAAGCTATTTGGTCTTTATCTCTGCTGACTCAGTTCTTGTAAACATGGCACTCTGTAACCACTTTGTAGAGGAGTTAGGTAATCTCGGGACTGCCACCAGTGTCAAAGCTCAAGTTCCATAAGTAGCTGAACTCAGGCCACCCCTGTGCTCCATTGCTGTGGACCTCTTCCTGTGGGGTGAGAACAAGAGACCGTTACTATAGAGACCATCCCCAAGATAATTGAGACTTGGCAGTTTTTAAATCTCACCTCTGAGCTCCAGGAGATCTCAGTAGCACGGGGAAATCTAAGCAAATGCACTTTGCTTTCCAGGACTTTGCACCCCGCGTGATTGTGATGTATGTGATTGCTCTTCTTGCTTTTCTCTTCTACATTTCCAAAGTCCCAGAGCGGTACTTTCCAGGTAGGTCCCGTTCATCATGGTTTGCAGCTTTCTTCTGAAAACACATTTCAAGTAAATGCTTCTGAGACTGAGAATTTAGTTTGTTTCTCAGTGTTGACTATGGAATGATTTTTCCATTCCTAAGCAATATCTATAACTTTTTCACCAGGCATGGTGGCGCACACCTTTAGTCCCAGCACCCAGGAGACAGAGGCAGGTGAATCTCTGAATTTGAGGCCAGCCTGGTTATACAGAGAAACCCTGTCTTACAGAACAACAAACAAAATAAAAAGGAAAGGAAGAGAAGGAGGGGAAGAGAGAGGGAAGGAGGGAGGGAGGAAGACAGAAAACATAACTTTAAATTTCAAGGTGCTTTCATAGACATTCCCCGCCACCTTCACAGTATGATTTGGGCCCAGGGGCTGGGGTTGACACTATTATACAGTTATGAGCTAGTGACAGTGCCCATCACACTCCGAGGATCATGTGACTCCTAGCCCCTGTTCTTTTTAGCATGGGGCACTACCATTAGCCACCATGCTCCTCCGTCCATGCCAAGTTGTTCTTAAAGAGTAATTTTCATATGCAGAGATACATAAAGTAAGAAATACAAGAACAGGAAAAAGAAGATGGGTTTAGAGTAATGTTTCTGCACACTGGGGCTTTATCTGTGGTTTCTGTTGCCTGAAGGAAAACACCACAGAGTGAAAACACCACAGTCAAAACTTACAGTAGAGTATATTCTAATTGTTACATTTTAATCTCTTCCTTTATCTGATTTGGAAGTTAAACATTACTGTCGGTATCATATAGGGAAAGGTGGTATGTGTAGGACTGAGTCCTCTCTGCCATGCTCGGCATCCACTGGGGGCTCTCAGAATGTTTCCTCAGATACTGTGGGATGCCGAGTCCTTACTTCCCAGTGTGGGGAGAGCTGACATTCGTTGCAGGGAGTGGGGCTGTGTTCACATTTTCCCCTAAGAGAAAGAGTTACCTCCATGATGCATCAGGGATGACATGGAACCCTTCTTCGCATGCTCTGGAGAGGGAGACAGTCTAGAGGCGGAGTCTGCAAGCATCCCTCTGTGTTCTTGGTTCTTCATTGCTGAGCTTTCGGTCCGAATGGAGTGCAGTGAGAAACAGAGGGTAGACATCGGGACATGAGAACAGAACCACAGCCCTATACTGAAAAACCACAATTTGGGTATATTTTTGTATCATTTTATTAATAATTATTTTTAAGGTTCTAGAGCTAGAGGGCTATGTAGCTCTGTGATAGAGCACTTACTTGCCTAGAATGCACATTGCAAAATAAATTTAAAAATAATTACGTTCATATAATTTCATTTATTTGTTCCACACAAGTACAAATACTCTACACTATGTAAGAATGGCCATGAGGCTTTAGCCTTACTGTTTTCCAATCAGTTGTTAGGAATTGTCTCTTCTAACACCTGGAAAAGATCATATGTTATACAGCTTTTCTCCAAGGGGAGCTCAGCATGAACTGTGCCTGCGTAGCTGTGTGGCTGAGTGCAGGAACACAGAGCAGTGGAGGCAGGGTGCTGGGAATGCTGAAGTCTTGGGAAAGGCAGTTTCTAGTGGTATCTGTGTCTTCTCCCACGGATGAGAGGAACATGGGCAGTGTAGACTGTGAATAGGGAGTAAGATATTTAAAACTAACAACAGCTCTAGTTACAGTACACACCTTAACCCTAGCACTAGGGAGGCAGAGGCAGGCAGATCTGTGAGTTCAAGCCTACCCTACCCTACACAGTCCTAGGCCAGTTAGGGCTACTTAGTGAGACAGCATCTTCAAAAACAAAACAAATATGTATCTCAGTGGACCCATAGATCTACATGTTCATCAGTAGACCATTTATGACAAGATAGCAATGTGTACACACACACACACACACACACACATTTTAAATGAATCTGCAGGCTTTACTGGGAGTCAAGAGAAAGGCTAAGAGCCTACCTGGAAAGAGTCCTGTGGATCACACTTTAAATCCTGTGTTCTTCTTGCTAAGAGGACGTGAGCATAGCAAATATACAGAAAATAGCACCACAGTAGGACTTTAAGGAACAGCTGACAGTTGTTCTGGTTCTGGTTTTTGTGACTGGGAACATCAGGAAGCCCCCCTGTGCTAGTGATTAATTAGTCCTCCCCTCCTGTGCAGAAGTGCTCCTAACAGGCTCATGTCTAGCCATGCAATGCGTCTGTTCTCAGTCACACACCTAAGTCATGCCCAGATCACTAGTGTCTCTTGCCTTCCCCCCCATCTACCAAATACATTGAGACATGGAAAACAATAGATCAAATTCATAAAATTAAACATAACATTTTTTTTTTCACATTTTGTGTACGTGTGTGCTTGCATGTGCGCACTCTTGGGTGGACAAGGCACGTGCAGCAGTCAGAGGACAGCTCTAAGAGTCAGTTCCCCACTGTGGGCTCCGTCTTTGTCTGTGTCCTGTGGATGGACCTGAGGGATAGCAGCTCCATCAGGCTTGGGGCGGCTGCCTTTACTCTCTGAGCTATTTCATTGGCCCCTACAAGTTACATTTTAAAAATAAAGTTGGGGTCTAAGGCCATACTACTCAAAACACACCTGATCTCTCCTAGAAACCGTTGGGAAGAGCATTGCTCAAGTTCACTTGTATACTTTAAATTGAGTAAACTTTAAATGAGTTCATCCTCTTAAAGCTGAATTAATCTGCCGTCAGTCTAGCCAGAGATAGAAGTGTATTTTTCTCTAAATACTGAAATAATACCATCAGCCTTTCTTTCTGCTCTCCCTTCCAGGACAGCTGAACTACCTCGGATCAAGCCACCAGATCTGGCATATCCTTGCGGTAGTGATGTTATACTGGTGGCACCAGTCAACAGTGTACGTCATGCAGTACAGGCACAGCAAGCCTTGCCCTGACTATGCTTCGCACCTGTAAATTCAGGTATGGCCACCTGGTGAATCCAGTCATTAAGCAATATACAGCGGGGAATTTTAGACCCCATTATTTCTAAGGTTCTCATTTTTTTTCTTTTCTTTGCTTTATAAAAATGGAAAAGCATACTTGGATCTGTACTAAGAGCTGTGGTTGACCCTTGCAACTGTGATTTGCTGTTTGCACAGATGGTGAAAATTTAGATGCACTGAGGCGTGGAACAACATTGAGTGGTAGCAGTGGGTATGAAACTACTCTAAAAACGGGGCTCATTCTACGTAAGACCAACTCCATTTTCCTAGGAAGGGCTCCTGTCTGTGTGCTTACTGTAATAGGAGACATTTTCACTAACTGACCAAATTTGCCTCTTCAAGGTGAGGGTTGTAGCTTGTGCTACTCCAGGCTAAGTAGGGCTGCTCAGTAATCCCAGCCTTCCCATGCAGCAAGTGAGAAACTGGCCCCGAGGATTCCCCACAGCCATTTCTCCTCTCCTTAGGAACATTAATCTTAATTCCTCCTTTGAGACACAGAGAAAGGTGTTGAGAAAAAACATTTTTAAAAAGAATATTAGATTGGCAACCAGGGGCACGATTAATCAACACAGTCTGATGGCTAGATCATCAGCTACCTAATTTTATTCCAAATATTATTTCATTCCATATTATAACTGGATTCTTGACAGTGAATTTTGATTCCACTTTTCCCAAAGAACTTTCATCTCTAACTCTAGTCCTAAGATCCATGCTGATGAGCTCAAAACCGTGTGGGTGCTGCTTGGAAGGCCATGAGAGCTGAGTGGCCCTGGCTTGACCTCGTGAAGTGAACCTTAAGCCTGAGAAGTCACGCCCACGTCTCACCTGATAGTGAGATTATTCACCGCAGCCCAGCCCCAGGCCTGCTTACACTAGTGCTAACATTGCATTGACAACTTATCGTACAGATAAACACCATGGACTATTCATAGCTGAAACGAGGTCTTGTTGATAGTCAATCCTACTGCGCTGTCAGATAGTGTAACTTCTATTCCTTGGACTTTCGAAGAGCATAAAAAAAAATCATTTATAGTATTCATAAAACTTCCATTGTCCACTAAAACATAAAGTATTACCGATTTCTTAGTAAGTTAACAAGCCGGCATATTTAACTTAATAAGTTAAATACTGACATATTTTCAGGAAAATGGAATTAATATATAAAATTTTTCTTGACATTGATGCTTATTCCCTAAATGCACTTTCTACATCTGGTATTAGGAAGACTGATATGCCTCGGTTTCTGCCTCTGCAGAGTGTTTCTTTCTAGTGTAGTGGTTTTGGAGTTCAAGTTTCCCATGCTGGTATGTCAGAAGTTTTCTCCTCTGGACTCAGTCAAGGCCACCATTTTATGACCGCTGCGTGCTGGAATGCTCCTTTCAAAGTGGCTGTCATACCTTAGATCACAAATTCAATTCATATGCTCAACTGTAGATGGTCTGGACATGACGAAAGGAGGTTATGTTTTTCAAATAATAACCTTGGTTGGCATATGTTGTTCTTGAATACACATTTTACCATTCTGGCCAGAATTAATATACTAAGTAGTTTTTAAGTAAAAAAAAAAAATGAGGAAAGTCCAGCAATTTTAAGCATGGAGCCATTTTTATTATTAACTCAAAAAAAAATTCAATTCTTTTAGTTTTTTTCTTTTTTCAGACAAGGTCCCACTCTGTAGCCCTGGTGGGCATGGAACTTGCTATGTAGACCAGGCTGGCCTTGTACTCATAGAGATCCACCTGCCTCTCCCTTCCAAGTACTGGGATCTAAGGCATGTGCCACCATGTCCAGCCCTCTAAGTTTTACTTTCTTCAAATGCCTGGTTTCTCTTTGTACATGCATTCTGTACTAATTGCTATATGTGTACACATAAAAAGAGCATACTTTGTTTTCCAGCAGCTATTCTTTGAGTAGGTCTGATTGTAGGGACAGTTTTTCTGTGTTTTCTGAAAGTGTTCGATATTATAAATAAACTATTGTCCTCATCGTTTGTCTTTATAATGTATTTATTATAAAAGAAGGAATGACTGTGGATTGCTGTCAACTATAAACACTTATGTATGTCAGCATTTATTGACCATCTACTGTGTGCACAGCACTACTGATAAAAATTTAATTATTGACATTAAAGAATATTTGACAACTGCTTACAAATTTGAGTTTTGTAATAATGTATATTTATTTTTGTTTTTATCAGTTTACTAAAATAGGTTGAAAATTGTATTTCCAGCTACGGTATTTAAAAAGGCCAGTCTTACTTTTACCTGTATATAAACTATAAAAGCTAAGAAGACTTTAAAAGTACACTTTTTAACTATCTCTTGCTGTTTTAAATTATAACAATTTATAGAGATGCAGTCATCTTTCTCTATAAAGCCATTTTCAAACACCAGGGCACCGCTCATCTTTTTGGCTTATACTAGGTGCAGTCGGTAGCTGCATGGCAGTGTGCGTATGTAAATAAATGGGGTTTACTGAAGTGTGCGTATGTAAATAAATGGGGTTTACTAAAGTGTGTGTATGTAAATAAATGGGGTTTACTTAAGTGTGTGTATGTAAATAAATGGGGTTTACTAAAGTGTGCGTATGTAAATAAATGGGGTTTACTGAAGTGTGCGTATGTAAATAAATGGGGTTTACTAACCGTGTGCTGCTTGTCGTTCCTTGTGAGATGCTACAGCCTTAAATCACATCTCAGGGTCAGATGATGAGCCAGGGACTGTGGCAGCTATGGTCCACTAGACAGAGTATCCGGTTTGAAGGTTGTACTTGCAGAGTATAGGGCTGTACGACTTTCGGCTTGTCAGGCACCCCTGGAGACGTACCCTGCCCTGTATTAAATGCCCAGGGCCATGGCCTGCACTTCTGGATTCCTGCCAGTTGCTGAGGAGGCCAACATCCACCCAAAAGCATCGTTTATTCTAACTCCACCCCGCCAGTGTGAAGCAGCGAGGCTGTGAGGGCAGGCCCACGGGTCTTTTGTATGCATCATCAGAGTAACATTTTCACAGAAATGGAAGGCAGGCACTGAGCACCAAGGTCCCCTGTGAGTTCCCTGGGCGTCTGTGGTGCGATGAGGATCTGGAACTGAAACTTACCCTTGAAACTTTTCTTCTTGAAAGGAGGGAAAAAACAGTAGGGCCCTCTTGAGGAGAGTGAAGTCTGTACCCTTGCACAGCTCATGGGAACAGCCACCAAGGCCCTCATCCTGCTCTTCTAACGTGGCCTCAAACTGCTGCCCGGAGTGCAGGTAATCTCAGCTGTGCCAGCCCCGTGCCTTCTTAACACGCAACAGTTGTAAGGCTCGTGCCTTCGAGATGAGCATTAACTGCCGCGTGTGATGCCCGAGCCAGCCTTTCCGAAACAGTAATCACTCCAAAGAAATAGCTCTCATGTCCCTGCTTGGAGAGATTAACTATAACCGAGTTTAAACAGGGACTGCTTTGCACTGGTTATTTCTTCAAAACAAAAATCCACTCATACCAAATAAAATGAGACAGTGTGGTCAGGCACCAGTGCAGACTCCAGATTGGGGAATAGTGTATTCTGAGATAATACCGCAACTCTGTTGTCATTCTGATACACAGGCCATCTCTTTTAATATGCCAGAGCCACTTTTAGTTTCTGACACTGTCGGGAACTAAAATAAATACTTAGTCAAATATTGTTAATGCTAACAGCCTTTTACAGTCAAATATTGTTAATGCTAACAGCCTTTTACAGTTGAAGAAACAAGTCACAAATTAAAAACTATGTCAGACAAGTTGATTCCAAAGGCAGTCTGTGATCTCGTGTTCTGGCTCACGGCCACCGTGTTGGTGAAGGTGGAGCAGTTGTGCTATGAACGTTCTTGCCACGGAAGAACAAGGCCAGGAACGTTTCCTTAAGTCCTGAAGCATGAGCTCCTTGAGAACAGCACAAAACTGAGACAGAATCCACGTGAGAATGAAAGAACTAAAGAGAAGTTTATAATGAACTTTTAATAAGACAAATTAAAAAGACTCCAAAGGCATTGATTATAAAGAATAAGCAATCCATTTGGGATTTATTGCATTTAAAGAAGGCAGATTATTAAAACAGTAGGTATGATAAATACAGTAAGAAAATAACTTTAAATCTCAAACAAAATAGTGAACAGAATTCAAGACTAAGCCATGTAAAGGCAATAAGGTAATAAAATGAGTGCCTAACTGGGTACAGGGGAAGCAGCTGAATTCTATTTCTTAAGTTTCCCAGCTACATTTGAGGATTTAAGTCACTTTAGTAAGTATGTTTTATAACAGTTAGAAACACAACTAAAGATATAAATCCATTTTTTAAAGATTAAAGTTATTTGCTTAGTGGTACATAAAAGGCTTCAAAAAATTCAAGTTTAACAAAAACTGGAAGTGTAATCAAAGAAAGTGCACTTAAAGCTGTTTGCCAGCAATTAAAGGGAGCTTCCAGGCTGGAGGCGGAGCTCAGCGCCCAAGCGCTTGTCTAGCAGGTGCCAGGCCCTGGCTTCAGTTCCCAGCACCACAGAGGAAAAACAAGTGGTGACTACCCCTTCTATTGGACGACTTTTCAGTCACCAAAAAGCACACAGGAATAAAATCAGTTCTCTTCTGAAAGCAGCACTGTGAATCTTAAGATGTAGAAACAAAACCTAAAAGAGACCCCACCCTCTGTATTTTCATCTGCGTCTTCCCTTTGGTGGCTTTTGTAGACCCTCTCTAGGAGTGAATGCTCTTTCAAAACAAAACAAAACATGATTGCCATTTTTAAATTCACATTAATTCCCTAATAGAAAGCTGTGATGTGTATGTGTGTGTCTTTTTATCTTAGTAACTTTAGTAACAGAAGTTTTCCAACAGCCGTTTGCTGTTGTCACAGCAGACACGTCATCCTCACAGTAGACTGTCACCTCACGTAACTGGACCTAAACTGATGACTAGTTTTGCTAAAAAGAAGAACTGACAAAGTCCACTGCACATTCTACATGCACTAAACAGATGTGCCCAGGCTCTCCCAAGCAAACCCAGATGACCCAGCAGAGTGGCTGCCCTCAGCGCCAGCACAGGAGAGCGGGCTCCACCAGCAGGTGACAATAGTAGTCAGTCCCTGTTAAACGGCTGCAAGGTGCACAGATCTGAGATCCCAGTGATGACTTAACCACGTCCAAGTACACACATCCTGGGAGGAGGGAGAAACTCAGGTCTTAATATTCGAGTCAGTAATATTTTCTCCCAGATTAAATAGACCTTTTTCTCCAACTAAACACCAGGCAACTTCTTTGTGTCGGCATATACATTCTTCATAAACAGTGTTCTTTGTAATAGCAACGTTTGACTGAAGTAAGGGAAGGTAAGCACATGGTCCACTCTTTAAAAGACAATTCAGAGTTAAGCTGGTAAAGCTTCTAAGAAACAGCTTTGGCCTCGGATCCTTGAGGTCTCTCATGTGACTTCCCTTTGATGTTCAAGTTTAGCAGGTTTAGGACTACTTTGCAGGCTCAGAAGCACAGGGCACACCCAAATGACATCCTTTAAGCCAGGACGGGGCTATCCCATAACAGCCAGTCTTTAGGCTGTTATGCTACTTGCTGGATCCTGTGCTCCGTAGCTTAAGTCTCATTAGGGAATTAAGTACCTAAGGCTCAGCTGTACAGAGACTCAAGAGTTAAGTGGAAGTCTCTACATCTTAAGAAAATGCCTCTAACATCAACATAAAGGAACTGCCCCAAGGGACCTCCAGATAAATAGTCCATCTGTCCAATGAGCTGGTCTCAAAAGAGGAATGTCACCTGGCTGGGCTGTAGGAGGCAATGTAAACATTTTAGGCTGTGGCAGAGTTGTTTCCTAAGATTCATCCAGCATAAGCCAAAGGGGCTATGTCAGTGAGTCCCGTCAAATTAGTCAGTGCATTGAAAAGGCAAGTAAAACATCTCAGGAGACTACACCAGTTCACTGTTACCTTCCAGCTGAGCCCTTCGTAGACACAAACCTCACTTTCACAAGACAGCATCTCTGCCGAATCTGTTGTGTAGTTTAAAGGATCTACTAGCATTTGCATTAGCAAGATTAAGCAACCTGAGAACTAGAAAAAGGTGCAAACATAGTTTCTGCCTTTGGCACAAGGACAGTAAGTGGTGCAGACCAGTTCTCGGTGGTGACCTAATGCTGGGCTGCTGCCCATCCACTTTTCACCTGACTGAGCTCACAGAAGAAAAGCAAGGAAAATGACCGTGGCTTGCTTATATTTTCTGCTTCTTTCCAAGTTCCAAACTGTGAGAGTAGGCAAATAATTTATCCCATCAGGGCACTAAAATTAAGAGGTTTTAATAAGATTACTCATAAAATACACTAATTGGGGGCAGAGATAGTTAACTTAAAACACAGCAAGCAAGGAGAGTGATGGTGCTAAAGTTCCCACCCCTTTCTGTAACTAGCTATTAATGTAGAAGCGTGTGGTGCTGATCCTGCAAAGACAACGATAACTGAAGACAGAGACACAAGAGCAGAGAGTGTGTTCACATTAACTGATATATAACTGCTACCATTAAACACGACTTCTACAAAATGTCAACTTTCTAATTATGACTCGTGGTATTTTTTAAAAGGCAATTTGGTAGCTTGGTTCTTTTCACTGATGATGCAACCAGCTAGCAGAATTAAAGTCCCTAGTCCCACGGTCTAATTCTTACATCCACTGACAGTCCGGCTGTCCGTGCAGCGGGACTGGCAGCAGCAAGCATGCGTCCTGTCTCCGTAAGGCTTGTCAGTGTCACTAACAGGAGCACTGAAGTAAAACAGCCCCCCCAAAACCTGAGGGAAGGAACTGCTCATGACTCGGGAGTGCTGGATGAGGGTGCTGATGTAACAAAGTACAATAGTAAATGCAACAAGATTTTACATTGTAAACATCTTTAAAATTTAAAGTTTCAGCTAGTTTTTTCCTGAAATTAAATTTCTATATAACCTCTCTCCTCCCACTTTTTATCAATATGCTTCATTAGGGACATGATAAAGATTTTGGCAAAAATCCATTCAAAAACATGTATTTCTAAAGTACAAATGTTGCTTTCTTTTTGACGTATCAATATTTTACATTTTTCAAATGTCAGATATTTCTCTTCACATTTTTGTTCTAGGTTTCTATTAAGCATTCCATATTTTAAAAATTTAACTTTTGACAGATTAAGAACTGCATATATATATATATATATATATTATCATGTACATGTTTTGATGTCTATACCATGGAAGGGCTAAACTGAGTCAATATATACATTATTTCATATAGTTATCATTACAGAGTCCATATTAATGGCACTTGTTTTTTAAAATGTGACAGTTTTAGGCACGATAGTCAGTTACTTCTGGCTCTACATTACAGAGAAGTGTACGAGCTGACAGCACGCTCCAGGCTCTTTCCTCCTGGGACAAACCTGCTAGACCTGGGTGTGCGCCTAGGTGACGTCAGCCCAAGTGATAAGCTCTCCCGTCCCTCAGTGGCCACACATCTGCCTGCCCAGGAAGCCCCACAGTTGCACCTCTGCGGCCGCCTCCTGCTTGCAGAAGGCATCGTCTTGCTACCCTGTACAGGTGCTTGCATTTGGTTTATTTAAAAGTCACCTATCCTGATTAACCTGGGGGAATGAAGGATATAAACAACCATACAAATAAGTTTTCTTGGAGATTCATAAAACTATTCATACTTTTTTGAAACAGGAGTTACTGCCGAGCCCACTGGAGTGTCTACTGTTTGGAAGGAAACGGAGCAGCGCCGAATGGGTCTAATTCGACTGCCTGGGGCTGTTGGGACTCACGTGGCGCGATGCTTTGCACCACGAGTTCTGTAAAGGGCACGGCACCGAAGTCATCCATTCTCAACGCGTCTACACTATGGAATGACCCGTGTACTGAATTCTGTCTTGGCCTCCCAGGCAAGATGGTATTATGATCAACACAGATGTCGCTTAGGCCCTGATGGGGCTGGTGCCACAACAACTCTGGAGGATGGAAAGGCTTGGCACCAAAGGGGTCCAGCAGACTCTCCTCGGTTTGCAGGGCGCTGCTCCTGTCCTTGCCGTCAGTCAATGCAACGCTGATGTTCTCCTTGGAGTCGGAAATGGTTAAAAACTCACTGCTGCTTTGTGAGTCTCTGCGGCCCACCTTCTTGTGTCTGCGGACCCTCTCGGGGGTGCGGTAAGGGGGCTTCAGCGTCTTCTTTGCGCTGGTGGGTGTGCCGTGGTGACGCTTCCCATTGCTTTTGGACAGGTCCTGCTTCGTGCGCCTCTGGCGAGAGGACAGTTTCTGCAAGCTGCGCTGCTTGACTTTCTGCTGCTGACTCCCAGTTATTTCCTCAAAGGGCACAAGCCCAAAAACGTCCTCCCTGCTTTCACTTCTACTCGCCGACGTGGAAAATGGCTGAAAGGGAGTGGAGCCAAATATATCTACACTTCTGGGCCGTGCAGGCACAGGCTGCGTGTCGGCCCCCACTGCAGGCCAATCCTGTATGTTCACCTTCTTGTTGAAGGGGGCCTTTGTGAACACGTCAAAGTCCTCCTGCTCCGGAAATGTCTGCCGGGGGAGGTTCTGCGCATCCCCTCTGTGCTGTGGCTGTGGAGCGCGCACTGCAAAGGGCACGGCGCCGAACACATCAAACTCCTGGCCGGAAGTCAGCGCATCAGCGGGTGAATGGGCAGGGGAGAGGAGCGAAGGGTTAGGGGCTGGGCTCCGCCCACCACCAGGTTGGCCTCTGCACTTGGCCTTGGCCTGTTCATACTCCGAGTCAGAGCTGTGCCTGTCCTCCTCTTCCTCATCTTCGGAGTCCATGAGCAGAGGCCTGTGACCCAGGTTCTCTGGCTCCGTGTCGTCATCATTAAAGTCCCCGTGTTCTCCCTGAGCGTCCTCATCCTCTTGTTCTTCTTCACTGCTCTTCGGGGAAGGGGGGTCTGATTCAAAATCGCTTTCGGACTCGTCATGGCCCTTCTGCTCTGGCCCCCGAACTGCTGTATTCTCTGAAGTCTTCTTTACAGCTCGCTCATCTTTACATACTGGACTTGCGCATCCATTTTTGGTAGGGTTTGCAGTGGTATTTTTTTGATTTGGAGAATGTTCAGTTTTCTTTTCAGGAGAACCTAAAGGTTCAAAGAAAAATCATTACAGTATTCAAGTATTTCAGTATCCGCTCGTACTAAACACACGGCATTACTTGTCCTCAGCAGTTCCCTCCTGGGAAGAGCGCTGCTAGTTCTCTGACCTCGTCCCCTGGAGGTGACGCCCTGTAATGCAGACGGTATCATACCCTACTCATCTCCATAGGTTTGGCATGGCTGTTCACTGCAAAGAAACTACATTCATAGCGCCTATCCTCCAGAAGGATACCCATGGTCTTCTCCATCATCAGATCAGACTCCCACTCTCCAAACACTCAGTGTTCTCTTTACCATTCGCATCTGCCTACCTACATGTCAGGATGCATTTTGTTTTACATCTGGACTCTTTCTAAAAAATGGTATTTTAAGTTAGTATCGATGTATCTCATATAGACTGGTTAAAGCTCAGAACCAAGTCCGACACAGACACTGTCAAGGGCACACAGTGAGACTGCACTAAAGCTGTGTGCCTTCTTTGGCAGGCACATCTTTAACTAGAAAACCTTAGTTCACTGGAAAACATGCTACCTTCCTAAGACTCTAGCCTACTGAGCTGGATGTTTCCAGAGGTGAAAATCAGTTTCTATTGATCCAATACTTATCGCTTCCTCTCTTTATGACTAAGGTGTTCTTCCAGTTACTGAGGACTGGAAGTACAGTATGTAGTCATGAAAACTAACTAGCTTATGGCGGAGGAACTACTAATTTCCATCACACAGTAGTCTTTGGAACAGTGGAAGGTTATTCCTTCTCTCCAGAATCCACACTGTCACATTCCGACTCTGTAGACCACTAACACTTTAAACACCGTAAGTGTCTACATTCCCCAGAGTTCTAGCCTTGGCTATTCTCCATTCACATTCTCCCAAGTTCTAAACTGGACAGTGACTGCCGGGCACACCAGTAGCTGTGGGAGACAGAAGGCAGATCCCGGGTGCTCACTGGCAAATGAGTTGAGCACGCGACATGAGTTTCAGAATAGTGAGAGACCATGTCAAGAAGAGAGACAGGACAGAGAAACAAAGATGGGAAGAGGAACAGAAAAAGAAAAGAAGGGGTTGGTAGGACCAACAGGATAGTTCAGTAGGTGAGAATACTTGCCACCAAGGATTGACAACCCGGTTCAGTCCCTGGGATCCCTGTGGTGGAAGGAAAGAACTGACCTCCCCAAGCTGACCTGCATAGTGGGCCGTGACAAGTGTGTGCATGCATGCTCTTACAATAACAAAATGTGGCTGTTTTTTAAAGTAGATTGGACTTGAGAAATGACACTCATGTTGTCCGCAGTACTTTAGCAAGGTGCATGTTGGTCAGTGACAGTACAGCAAGCTGAAGAGTCTGCAAAGATTGAATAAGCAAATGGCAGGCAGGGGAAATCTGTAGGATCAGCTATTGCTTTGAATACTGTCTCCTAAATATAAAAACATGTAAAACTTAGTTAAAACATATTAAATAGACTTTTAATAAAAACTCAAAATAGTGAATATATTAATATATTCCACATTTAGGTAAGAAAAAAACATGAATAAATTTTTAAGTTCATATCTGTAGTAAGAAAACTGTTCCTACTTTTAAGAACATTTTCAAAAATTCAACATTGTGGATTCAATTATGAATCCTCTGCCTTTAGAGCCCAAAGAAAAAGCATCAGCTTCCATGCACGTCCGAGACTCAGGAATTCCATAATTGCTAGTGCTCCGGAGTCCACACACCCTTCAGATTCAGGCTTTCCCCAAAGGGGCCTTTCTTCAGAAGTACCTGAACCAGGGTGGGCTCTAGACACAATCCATGGATGGAAATCTTTCTGTCCTGGTCCCCATTGTCAGAAATAAGAGCATATGATCCTTTTGTCAAGTTGAATGTGAATCCCAGAAACGGGAAGTCACTCAGACCAAAACCTGAGAATATGGTGACTGAGATGAGCAATGCAGATGTGGGTAGATTAGTGAGAACAGCAACTAAAACAGGTCCTGAGTTTTAAGTCTTTTGCTTAAGATCCTGCAGGGAAATTCTAAGTTAGTACGAGAAGCCACGTGAAGGCCAAGAAAGGGCTGAACGAGCACACACACAAACTCTGGCGAGAGAAGTGTTCACACTTCTCATCACCTCATGCACAGAGCTGCGAGGTAGCTGCTCGCTGTTGGTAACGGATGCGTCAGCTACTCACGACCTCAGCGACATCAGCAGCATTTACTAAAGTGGAATAACTTGACTATTTGCTAAGTGTCTACATGAAAACAAACGGAAGAATTCCTCTTCATCAGCAGAAGACGCTCCATGAAAGCACCCTTTGAGGACTTGGCTAGAGTCTTCTATTATTCAGATTTACTTCTTCCACCTGAGAAATGAAGCTGTCAGTCTGACATCTTCTCTCAGCGGTTAAAGTGAAGATGCACAGGCACTGAGGACAGCGGTTCTGGTGCTAGTGGTCCTCAGGAAAGGGCGACTGTCCCTGCTACTGACCCGACTATCTTCACAGAGTGCCTCGCTACACACCTGATGGTTCTAAGAATGGAGGGACGAGGTCAAGGAAGTAATAGTAAGTGCACCAGCTGTCCGTATTAACCCCTCACCACTAGGCTCCCACAACACTAGAATGAGAGTCTGTAAGATTTGCTATGATCTTTTTCGTCTCCATTTTACACATATTCAAAACCTATTTCCCATGTCTACAGACTGACATGCCCTCATATCTTCTCAAAAGTATGTACTAGTACCAGCAAATTTCAGCTCCTCAGCTTTCTCTTCCATGACTCCGTTTAACGGCTTCAACTATTTCCTGAAAGGTTACAACAACAAGGGATTTCCAGAGCTCTAGTTCAGTCTCTCTTTACATAAGGAATGTGACAGCCACCACATATATTAACACCACAGTGATTTCCCCTGCTGCAGACACTGTCTTCAAACTCTGACCCGTAAACTGAAATCAACCTTTGGATGGAGTAGCAGCATCAGCCGCTAAAGTTCAGCTTAGCCTACCAATGCACTGCTGATCTGCTTCCTGTTCACCCTTTACGACAGCATGCCAGAGCAGTGGAAGGCACTGCCATACTGGTCCTTGTTATTTCTGTTTCAGCAAGGTGTTTTTGTTGAGCTGTATAAGCTCCTTGAGGGTACTTTATAGTCTTCCAAACACAGAACGTCTTTGTAGTAATTTATGTCTTTCACAGATGGGTAAGACTGATGTCAAAGCTCATCACCTTAGTAACCTGTGAGACACTATGGTCCTCTACGTATCGGGACACCTCCATGCTTCCTGTCACTACATCTGGACAATGAGTGACAGAAGCAAGAATTACTGGGGGGTTCTGAAAATAAGCTTACCTCAGCAAACAATATAAAATCAGGCATTCACCAAAAGAATGTCAGAGTACAAACTGAACAATTCTGGGTTGGTAACTTTTCACAAAAGACAATTCCTAGGTGTTCAAATTTCAAAGAGACAGTCTTGCACAATCTAAACAAGAACTTCAATACCAAATCCAAATTTGGAGGCAATATCTATCACGGCATTTCTTTGGCTAGATTTTTATATAGGTGTTACAGTATTCTCTTAAATACTTCATGTAAAATTAAGGTCTTAGTTCATAACTGACTATTTTAGATCAGTCCGGCAAAGTATACACTCTGAAATTCACAATCTGCACCAAAGAGCCACATCACTGAGAAAGTCCTTGTGTGGAGAGAAGACAGCACATTCTTTCGACATTGCGACTTTTTCCTGCTGGCTTTCCACTCAGGGGGCAAACAGCTGGTACACTTTTAATCATGTAAGAAGCTTCCAGTGTCAAGCAAATTTTGTTTCCATGCTCTTTTCTTTACTGTCAGATTACAGGGCATAAATGGCTTGCACTGCTCCTGGGATTACACGCCGTCTGTCGTCTCAGCACTCGGGCAGGGGAGGGGCTGGTGCGTTAAAGCACACTGTGAATTGGTAGCATACTGCCTGCCATCATTTCCCCGCAATTTATCATGTTAGGCCTCAGGATTAGTGGATTAGGAAAAGGTTTTATCAAAATCTGCACTGCTGCTCTGAAGGCAGGCCAAGTGGCAGAGTCCAAATTCAAGAAGAAAACCATACAAGTTGTGAACTGTATTTTCAAACTTAGGATGCCATAAAGTGAGCTCAAGACTCATGAACTGAATATAAATTATATACCTCCTCACCTTACAACCTTTAGACCCAAGCTTCGTTAAACCTGAACCAAATTAAAAATTAAATGCAAAGTAAGAAATCTAAAACTTCCGTGACTTAATATGGCCATGTGTGGAAAACCTTCAAACACATTTTCAGAATTTCAGTAACCTTTTGAATGTTTCAGAAGTTGTATCTGATTAAACAGGACCATCTATACTGTAACAGAGTCACATTTCCTGGTTTTCAAAGCTGCTGGGCACAACAACAAGGATTCTGGGAAGGACCAGAATCAGAAAACTAGTATTATGTCTGGGTATTATCATCTCTCTGGGCCAGAATAGCATTTCTGGTAGTGACAGGAGAGTCATTAGTTGTGAGGAAAATGAATGGCATTTATAATCTTAACAAGCAGAAAAACAGTCACATACATACAGGCATGCTGAATCTGGGAGATGAGGGACCTTTACATGGACGAAACTGTACCTAGGCTGGGCAGAAGGCACAGCAGGAAAAGTACTCGCTACACAAGAGGCAGGACCAGAGAAGCTCAGATCCCCTGAAATCCCAAAGGCTGGAAGGTGGAGACAGGGCACTGATACCATGAACGAGCTGGATAGCCGGAAAGGGCGAGCTCTGGGCTCAGAGAGGGGCCTTGCCTCAAGGAGGAAGTTGGAAAGTGATTAAGGAAGATGTCCAGATTCTAACATAAAGTTTTGAGGGGTATGTTTTTGGGGGTTTTGTTGTTGTTGTTGTTGTTGCTTTTACTTTATTTTATTTGCATGTGGCGTGTACATGTGTACTGGAGATCAAAGGCAAAGTAAGTACATACTCTACTACTGGGCTACACTATACTGCCAGCCCCAGAAAGCGTATTAGGAGATTGCAGTCATTTATTTGAACCTTCACTGTTATTTGGCACGTGACTGTATATACACAATCAAATGTATGCACATGAGAAGGGCTAACAGTATAAATAATCTAAATCCATGTGTGTCAAAATAAAAATCTTACACATGCCATCTAAAATCAATTTGGGAGGCAGTTAAACAAAAAATTAAACATTTAGCATGATATATTAAAATGCCAGAAGTAAATAATTATCTCTGGAGAGTTTTAACAAAAAGGGGACAGGAAAGGATCAGTCATGGAAGACTTTCTTGCTAAATTTGACATTTTAAACTATATGCATTATTTATATTATACTGAATTACATGTATGTGTATGCATCTGCGTGTGGTGTGTGCACACTGAGTGCAGGAGCCCATGGAGGCCAGACATGTTGGTTCTCCCTAGAGCTGGAGTTATGAGAACCAAACTCAAATCCTCTGAGAGAGCAATAAGCACTCCTAACCACTAAGCCATCTCGAGTCCCACGTTAAAATAAAAATTATTTTAGTAATTTTAAAATTATTTTATAAAATAGGCTGGAAAAAGATAAAATTTAAAAATCAGTTAAAAGTCTTAAGGTTTAAAGCTTGTACTAGCTAGTTTTAGGGCAGCTACAATCATTTTGGAAAAGGGAATCACAATTGAGAAAATGACCATACCATATAGCCTGTGGACAAGCCTGTTACCTCTCCCCACTTGCCTTCAAATTCAGCCTCTTTTCCATTGTTATTGCATGCATGCATATACATGTATATACATATTTATTCCTAAACACACCTGCTCAATCTCTACAATGTTACTTCTAAGCACGTTGCCAGGGCTGACTGTGTGATGCTGGATGACCAGTTGGTGTGCTCTTCCAGCTTCTTGCTCTCAGCATCCCTTAATAGTTTCGAACAATTTTTCTCTTTTAAAATAAAAGGTAGTTTGTAGTGATGCATGCTTGCTATCCCAGCATTGGGAAGGCAGAAACAAGATGACGATCTCAACCTTGAGCATGGGCAACATATCAATGCAATAACAAACATGACAGACAGATGAACAGATAGATGATGGATGGAAGGACAGACAGAGAGATGGGCAGACAGAAGAATGGCACAATTCCCTAACAAAACCAGTGTAAAGAACAGTAGATTTGAGACAGTGGTTCCTCTTAAATTCCTAAAACGTTATAATTAGACTTAATTTTTACAGCATTTTGATTCATAATTGTACTGTTTTAATTTTATATAGTGCCCTCTGTATGATCTGAGGTACTCAGACTGTATCTAGCAGACTCAAGAACAATGGTTAGTGCGCCTGCCCATTCTCCAGAGCTCACTGCTCTCACTAGAGATTTTTCCCTCCCACACACAACTATTTCCTAAATTTAAAGGGAGGTTAATTTTAGTTTCGGAAGATTCATTCATTCTACAACTAGAGGAAAACAAATAACCCCCCATACCTATGTTTACCCAAAAATTATATAAAGGTATTTCTAAGCTTTCTAATACCTAGGCCAGTGGTAATATCTACTATAGATTTTTTTACTTTAATTAAACTTTGAGTCTGAAAAGTATCAAATTAACATTGCTCTCCCAGCAATCCCTTCTGTCACAGGCACGCTTGCTCCTTTACTTAGTTTCCAAACCAAGTCATTCCAGTATTAACAATGCTCATGCAGGGCAACAAGCTCTAGAGTGAGGGCATGTTGAGCCCAACTGCCCCAGCACCGAGGCCTACTTAGGAGCCTTCGGGAGATGCCGTAATGTCTCCATGCAATCACCACAGCCTAGCACTCAGGCACACTTACAAGCACCTTCTGTAGATAGCCACAATGTTTTCATACAATGACCACTGGGTTGGTTACTGGGCAAGATCAATCGCAAGTCATGCCTCCAACCCTCAAAAAGCTTTAAATCTACCAGAGAATGTACACAAAGTTAAACAAAATGGCAACATCAACCAAGCTCAATTTCTGAATAAATTGCTAATTATAAAATCCCTAAGTCAACATGAAAATAAGGGGGTGTGCAGAATAGAATAAGTCAGTGAGTGTCCTCCAATTTCTGACTTTCAGCCTCATTCTCCCAGGGCCCTTCAGAAGTGGTTTATACAGGTTATGCGCAAACCTAGGGAGGGTGACAGATGCTCGCAGAAGAGCACAAAAGAACTAATCCTGAATCTGGTCTCTGGATCAGGATCTCAAGTCACTAAGTCCTCACACTCCTGAAGACTGATGGGACATTTCTGAAATACAATTAGAGAAAAGCAATGCACTCTAACGGATTGGCAGTGTGAGCAAGCACACAGAACAAATGAAGCAGCTAGAAATTAGCTGCCTGTCCCTCTTAAGATGCTATGTCACCCATGAAATTGACGAAGATAAACCACCTTCTATAAGAGCAAAGACTAAAACAAGAACTGCAACAGCAATGAGAAACAATCCCGATTAGTGCTCTGTATTAATTACTGTTAGTAATAGTATTAGGATAATTTTGCATAGTGAATAGCATCAGCATTCAATGCCTGAACTGAAATCGAAAGACTGAATATTACAAGAGTAGTTAAAACAAAGTGATGTGCCAAAGACAAAATCATGAAGACAACTATAAAAGAGCATGGATATGCTAGGAAAACACCAGGCTTTTTAAGTAAAGTTAAGTATAAAAATATTTTAAATGTACTTTAAACATAGGAGATATTTTCATGTACCATTTCTTAAAAACCAGAACCCAATAACTGGCTTTTAGACTTATGTTTCTACCACGTGAATCAGCATTTGCCCATGTTGGCAAAGATACAATAACAAACTGTAGGTCAGACATTAAGGGAGACAAAAGACGGCTAACAGCTGACATCATTTCCCTGTTTTGCTTTCCAGACCTAACGGCTGCTCTTACTTCTTTAAACCAATGCAGTTTTGCTGCTGTTGTGCTTGCACATGTCAAGGACAGTGAAACAGTGACGTCACACATGTAACTTGCCTGAGTGAGAAATGAAAGGGACAGAACCAAAAGGGTCTTCCGGAGGATGGCTATGTGGAGCAGAGGGTGGGTCTAGATTCTTATCTGAGGGTGCGCTCTCCTCGAGCCTGTCTGCAAAAATAAGATCAAACAAAAGAAAAAATAAAATAAAATAAAGATGGTTTAAATGAAAACTGATACACAGTATAAATCAAAGTAAAAATTAAAGTAACCGCCTTTTTGAAAAATATAATTTCACAGCCCCGTTCTTAGAAGGACGGAGGCTGTTTTCTAAGGTTGAATACATATCTGCTGCTACAAAAGCAAGCTCAACAGTATTAATCAGGGCTGGGTTACATTAAACACAATCTACCCACGAAGTTAGTCTGGTTCACTTAATACTAGCTATCTACATTTTATAACACAGTGAACTTAAGTTTAAACTCTGCTCATTACAAAGACATATTCAGCAGACTTTCAACAAAAGCCTATAGAAAAAATATTGCAAATGGTTATCATTCAGAAAATTGGTAAATTCTAGTTCTCAATAGTCAGAGAAAGAATTCATTCTATTTCACGTAACATTTTGTACATTATTAACACATATGTGTGCACATGCGCACACACACATATACAGTGTATTTATTTATTCATCCAACAAATGCCTGAGAATTCAGTACACACCAAGCACAGCACTGTTCTCAGCAACTGGAATGTAACATCAAACAAAGACGCCCTCCCCCCCCCCATGTAGTTCATATGCTTACACGAGAAATAAGCAAGTGACGGACACAGCATGTTCGAAACTAATAAGCTATAGAAAAAGTGCAGACAGAAGAAAAAGAATAAGGGGATGGGCAGTGACAAAGAGTGCCTGCTAGGTCAGCGGCTGGGGACTGAGACACCACAGGTGAGGAGGAATTTGCTCTCTCCACTCCCTGGCCCTGGCTTTATTCCCCTGCACTTAAGCTCTCTGCACTGGGGTACTTACACACCTACTAAGAACTTCCTGACTTTTTTAAAGTCTCTTTCCTGATTCTCGGCAATCAAAATTATACTATTTGAAACTTATCATGAAAGAGACTTTAGGCATTCCAAGTAGACCTTTGTCCCATAGCCATTAAAACAAAACAAAACCTCAAATTCAAGTTCATGCTAGCTTGTTTTCAAGAATTCTTTTGGTGAGTAAATTATCTTGTGTTCAATTAAACTTTAAGGGACTAGAGAACAGGGAGGAAGTGGCCAAGAGAACTGACATTCTAAGAATGAACGTAGTGGGCCTTGACTCACATTTTCACAACCTACTATTGAGAGATGAAGGGTTCCCAGTTCACTGTGGTGGGAAGCAACGATGGCACAGGAAGGACAGACAACCCTAGCCGTCTTTTGGGGTAACTATAAACCAGAGACTATGCACTGTATCAAAGTCCTCCTAGGGTCCTCCAGATTCCATCAAATAACAGCAGAGACGAAGGAGGCTAACCCAAGCGACAGCCACAGTGGCGGTCACCTAAGAAAGGCATTCCTGAAATCCAGACAACATGTAGGGACGTAAACGTTAATTAGGAAGAGCCTTAAACATCAGCACTCCGTTGGGAATCTAACACAGCAGCTACTTCCCGTTACCCAGGCCTAGGCATCAGGATATATGAAATGTGAACTTGGGGGCCTCCACTGTAACACATTCTCTAAATTTACAAAACACTATCATAACAATGTCCCCAGATTATGAAAGTGCAACATCACTACTACACTCTTTGAATTCTTTTGCAGTCGGCAGATTATCTTCAGCAATCAAGTAAACTGTGCAAATACATACAGAACTGTGTAATTATAGCAAAGAAACAGACTTCATGTGGGAGTGGGCTGGTCATTACACACAGGGTCTCCATGAGGGAAAATATGGAAGATACTGTTGTATGAAACTCATTTACTTGATTATTTTCAAACAGAAGTCAGAGTACATTTATAACAAAATGAGTCACCTTCTCATTGTTCCACAAAACACAGAATCAATTTTTAACAGAGTATCTTTTAAAAATCACTTAAGGTTTCTAAAATTCACATAATTTGGGTCTCAGAACACAGAATATAAAACAAGTATACATTAACTTATTATACAATCAATTACATAGAAATAAAAACAAAACTCTCAATGTGGAGCTACATTTTAAAGACCTGGTTTCAAATGACTGATTTTCTCTCAATTAGAACAAGGCCTGAATTTGATGCAAGAAATTCACCTCACCATGCCTTACAAAAGAATTGTGTTGGCAAGTAAAGACAGTTCTTTCTCAGGTGCTTGACTGATATAGATGATGAAAACACAGGATTTTAAAATTCTGAAAACCAAGTACTTTCCATAATACCAGCACACAATCCAAACACTCGAGGAAGTATTTTAAGTATGCAGGTTAGATGGATAACAGCTTCAAACAAGGACTAAAGGTTAACAAATCGGGCTGTAAGAAGCTGTATTCATCAAGACTTTAGGGCCAGTCTAATGTGCCTGGACCACGGTGGCAGGTCTGGATGTGCGTTAGGAAAGGGTGGTTTGTGGGTATTTTTACCATAAACTAATTAGAGATCCTGACATTTACAACCACTTTCTTGTGTCTCCAAAACATATACAACATACTCAGTAAAACTGCAGAGCAACCAGCCTTCGGGTTTTTGTTATTCCTCTTAGTTATTTTGGATGAAATTTTAAACAGACAACAGTAAATCTATTTGTCCACAAATGAACCTCCTATTGTTCTTAATTAACAGTTGCAAGTATTTTCCCCAGTTTACTGCTTAACATATTAAATTACTGTTTAACATATTAAACATCATGACACATATATTCCTGAGGCTTACAAACTAAATCTGGATGCTTTGATAAAAAGACAATGACAACAGCAAGCTTAACTTAAAGAAATCACTGAGACAAACTTTATTACTAATGCTTAATCTTGGTTTAATGCATTAATATTAAGAGAGAGCCAGTAAAAGATTCTGAACCATAAATTACACTCATTTACACTAAAAGTTAAAGCAACAATAGTTTCTTTTATATGTTAAATGCCTGTTATAGGTAATCAATGGTTTTCCTAAAGATCACTAAAAGTTTTATCCATTACTAATATTTTGTTTTAATATCTCAAAAATGATGCTATAACTTTAAAATTACTTCCTATATGAAGCACACAAGTCATATATAATTTTTAGATGACATTATCTTTTTCCTAGTAAACAGCCCTCATAGGAAAATCTCGAATAATCATACAGCACTGAACTGCGGCCACTCTGCGGCCAATCTATGACTTCCAGGGGCAGTGTGTTCTCGAGAGTCACAGAAAGATGGCGGTCTCTCCCCAGAAAGCATTTCATCAACCAAACACATTTGATTTTGCAAACAACTCTGGGAAACTGTTAGTAAATAGGTGTGCCAAGAAACAAGGGTAAAACAGGCTCTGTGGTGTTCCAAGTAAACTATTTCTTCATTTTGGAAAAGTTGTTGGGGACAGAAGAATCAAGCAATCATGAACAGTCACCAACTCTCACTGCACAGAAGTTCTAGAAGAAGCCCTTGCCTATCAGAATGACTTAAATTCTAGCATACAGATCAAATGTTGGATACACTACTGCTGTCCCTGAATAAACATCAAGGTAACCATTACAGCTCATTAAAACTATGGGAAGAACCGCTCCTGGGTCCACGCATTCTACCCACGCCGATCAATCTCTGAACTTCAGAAGGCCCACTACTCCTCTCTCAACTTCAGCCTGCTCACTTAATGTTTTCCACCTGCTTCCCGCTGCCACTACCCCATCTGTAGTTGGCATTGTGTGCTCTTGACTCTGATTTGATTTTTAATTTACCAAGATATCTTGTGATTTAAATATAATTTAAAAATGTCAGGTAAATACCTTAAGATTAGGGGGATCGCTCTTATTCTCTGTGTCAAAACAATTACTTCATTTAGTGCCCCCTAACAACCCTGCCCCACCTATCCCAACTTAGACGGAGGCAGGGTGGGGCTGAAGGCAGCCAAGTGGCTTCACTGGGGCTCTACTCTGGTAAGCTTTCTGATCCTGTGTGCTCAAGTAAGAGGAGAAGCCCCGTGGTGCTGGTACCCATTGCGCAAAGCCACTGGGTAGCTGGCAAAGGCCAGCGGGTGCTCCCAGCCTGACTTCCTGGACTTTCCTTTGGGACCTGGCATCTTCTAGTGCAGTCTGAGCTGCCTTTGAAAACAGGTACACAAGTATATGCCAGTCATAGACACTTCCTATCTTCAAACTTGAAAACAATTGTTCCAGAATGTTAAAAGACAAAATTATACATGCAGTCATGTTCACACACAGTTCCTGCCCATACCAAATAAATACCACATTTTATAAGACAAAGAAATAATAAAATCCTACCTAGTGCTGGACCTTTTTAAAGATTATTTAGTGATTTTTTTTAACTCAGAAAACAAAAAATATTGATTTGGCAGACCCTTTTCAGAGCACATTAAAACTGGGAGGGAGCATCTGCTTTTAAATTAACGTTAGGCTGGGGAGACGGCTCAGCTAACACACTTGCTGCACCAGGGTGAGGAGACTCCAGATCCCCAGGATGGCTGCCAGGAGGGCATGGTGGCCACCTCCAATTCAGTGCTCAGCAGGCAAGGTGATTGAATAAACCGTAGTTTTTATTTGGGAGTTCATCTGAGACTGTCCCTCAAAGAATAAAGTAAAGAGGAATCAAAGATGACTCTCAGGCCGTCACAGGCATTTACACACACACACACACATACACACACACAGAGAGAGAGAGAGAGAGAGAGAGAGAGAGAGAGAGAGAGAGAGAGAGAGAGAGAAACACTAAAATAACCCTACAAATGACATATACTTGATGACCTCCTGCGTCTCCCTTTTACTACTCTTCAAGAGATCATTTACATCCTTTTTCCAAAGCCGTGCTTCTGGGGCTACTTAAAATAAACTCCAGGAAAAATGCCAAACAAAAATGTTGATTTAAAAACATTTTTTTAATATGAGGTAAGATTGGTTTTATCAAAGTTAACAAATGTATACCAGGGGCTTAAAACTCATTTTTATATCCATATTTAATCACCAATATACAAAATACAAATTTAGATTAGATGCCAAGCATGAATGCCTTACAGGAATCCCTTACATGAATGCAGGCCATCTGTGAATTTTACATAAAATACATACTAATTCAGACAAAGCATTTCATTTACTAAATATGTTCATAAAGCTAGTTACCTATATAAAACAGAATAGAAACTGGGAGCTATTTATTGGACCCTTCTCTTCATATGCAAAATATAGAAACACACTGTGCATATAGGTATATATGTCACATACACATATATGTATACATATATATACATACATACACATACATACACAAGCCTCAGACACTAGAAAATCACCTACATTTTCCACAAAATGAGCTCCTTCCCCTTATTCTCCAGACCTGTCCAAACACCCATTCTTCCAAAAAAGATCATGAGGCAAGTCTTGACGTAAATACTAGGTAGTTTGAGAAAAGGTAACGATTCTAAGCGACAGCATTGAGATTTGAGATTTAAAGTGGAAAAGAATTTATTTAGCTTTGGCCATATCAGGACAGCAAAGCAACCCCTTTACGTCAGCACTCATTAAAAGGACATGACACAGCATTTTTCTCGGGCATTCTCAGGGGGTCCCAGATCCACCACATCTTCTCCTGAGTGTGCATCAGGAAGGCAGATACTGACAACGTCCTCTACTTGAACATCAGTGTCCCATGTTGTGACGGTATTAGGAAGGGTTAGGATACAGCAATCTTGAGTTTATTAGCTACTACCAAGCACCTAACTTCTAAATGTGTGACAACACAGTGGACGAGTATATGAAAGAAAATGACCTGAATTTTCCCTCAAGTGCACAGAAATAATTGTCCACACCACCTGGAAACTGTCTTTGGCCTTGCCGAGTTACAGAGCTGTTACTCTACTGGGAAGCAAAATAAGCCTTCAAGTGTCCCTTACTTGATCTGAGAAGGTCGAACTCTCGGTCCAGCAGCTCCTCTTCGGTTAACTTGGAGAAGTTGTCTTCTCCGAAAGGATTCCAGCCCGACATATCAGGCGGGTGACTGACAGCCTTCTCATCTGTAAAGCGTGGGCCTGCCTCCTTCTCAGCAACTGACCTAGTTGAAAGAGAAAGGAAAATGAATGAAAAGGATGACGAAACAATTGAGAAACCGCCAGTGTTCCACTTACAGTTTAGAAACTCTCAGAAATAAGACCTGGAGTACAGGATGGACAGACAACAGCTGTAATCTGAACCGCCTTCACAGAGCACACAGCTCTGTAACCACCCGTGGATGGCACATTTGCTGTGTTTCTTTCTCAGTCCCTTACTCCTCAGCACTTGTCCAGGCAGTGATGCACACCTTTAATTCCAGCACTCACTAGGCAGAGGCAGAGACAGATGAATCTCAAGTTCAAGGCCAATCTTTCAGAAGTGTAAGTCAGTGACCCTCAAAGTCAGCGTTGTCTTTCCTGTACCAGCCTCATCTCATCAGTGTCTTAAGTTGCTTTGATGTGGCTGTCCTGGAGCGTGCTAATAGACTATCGTGGCCCCCATCTGGAGATGTGCCTGCTTTATCCTTCTGCTGGGATTAAAGACATGTGCCACCGTGCCTAGCTCTCACTTATGAGATCGGCCTGTGCGACCCTGGGCAAAGGGATCCGTGTTCCTGTGTGTGTGGAGGGCATGCGCTATCTGAACTTTTATTACTTGTGGTTTGATTTGTTGGGGAAATGTGCTGGAAAGTAAACCTCAGTTGTGGCCACATGGACTTCTAATGAAAACGCAGTATACCAACTGCATCCAGCAAAGTCTGCGATTCTAGTAAGAAAAACTCTCTCATTCTTGTCGCGGGGGGACTAGTGCAGCAGATTCATTAGAACACTGCTTGCATTTCATAGCTTACATCCTACTGGATAGAATTTGTTTCAAGTGTGTATTTTTGGCCTTAATTTTCTTATGATAATGCTATTAATGTGTTCTAGAAAAGAGATAAGCAGACAAACAAAACGAGAGTGAAAAATAACAAACGGCAAAGCCTGATTTGTACTTTTTAAGTTCTGTTCGCCATTAAATTAGTTCTCACAACTCATGTAAACCTCTATTGTGTTTCAGAAAAGTATCTCATTCGTTTTTAAAAACCTCCTTCCTGGTGTCACCCCAACACATAACAGATCCCTGCCCTTCCTGGTGTCACCCCTGTATGTAACAGATCCCTGCCCTTCCTGGTGTCACCCCTGTATGTAACAGATCCCTATCAATCTTCTTCTTCTCCTCTTCCTCCTGCCCTTCCTCCCTCCCTCCTACCCTTTCCATCTCTCATTCCCCCCCACACACACACAACTATGACTAACTGTAAACTTACCCTCTTTAGACACACACAATTTACAGTATGAGGTTGTCCCTCATGCCCACTGTCTACTCGAACTCATGGTCTCTCTCTCTCCTACTGTTTCAAAACCTGAAACTGTGTTTAAGAGCCTCTTTGGTGTTCTAGTAATGAGCTTATCAGCTAATTTCAGTCTTGTATTTAAAGCAAATCCTAGTGATTGCTGTGGGGTGGGAGGGATGTGTCCGTGTGCACATGCACACTTGTCCATCTTGTTTCTTGATATTGGGGCTCTTAAATGGTTTGGGGCTCATCCATTAGGTTAGGCTGGGATCTCCAGGGATCCCCCAATCCCCATCTCCCCAGCTCTGAGATTATGGTGTGTGCCATCACTCCCTTCTTTCTTTAATAGACCCTGAAGATCAAACGTAGGTCTTTGTGCCTATGTGGAAAGTACTTTACCAAGCTATCTCCCAACACTTAATACTGGCTCTTAATTCCAAGATCCTAAAGTACTTAACACAGTAATGTCACATCCATGTGTGAGAAACTTTGTATCAAAGTTCTTCAATTCATTGTAATGAGTTCCCATATAAAGTATCCATATAATATAATTCTAACCAATATATCTAGATAGTTATAAGTCACTATTTCCCAACTACACTAAATTTGCTACACATGATATACTTAAAATGTTTGTTCCTGTATAAAAAAAATTATATAAATTTTATGAATAGTCAAGTTAATTGTAAGGTAGTAATAACACATAAGTAGAAAAGGCTAACCTGTTTAAAAGGGTTATTTATTTTCAACTACTAAGAGAGTGTTCTAGGATTTTGTTTTTACTTAAATTACAAAGAATGCTTTGATGTGCAAACCAACAAATTCCTCAACCTAACTGTCCTCAGGTATAGTTAAACTCTGCAAATAGCAACTGGCAGAACTGCTAGATGGTAATGGAAGGAAGACACACAACAGGGGACTGGGAGGGGAATGAATCAGCTCTACATGAAGATGAACTGACTGAATCAAGAGCCACTTAGTGGGCTTCTCATCAATACCATTCACTCCACAGTAAGTCCCTTTGCAGTCACTGGAAAACACTTACCTACTGGCACCGAAAGAGGAATCCGCTATGGTTCCAAGCTGGGCTGGAAGTGATGAAGCGTAGGAAATTAAGGCTGGTGAGAACTCTTGAGGGGAGGTAAGATACTCGGGTGATGCCAGGTGCTGAGGCTGCTGATGGTGCTGAGGCTGCTGATGGTGAGCTAGCATCTGTTGCTGCAAGAAAGCCTGGTGATACTGCTGCATCTGAAACAAGAAACAACACAACCCATGTCAAGTCACCTCAGCACTGACCAGTGTCTGCCTCCCTTTTCCCATGGAGACAAAACCAGAAACCCAAAAAACTAATCGAGTATTTGAAGAAGTAGCTGTTACCAGAAAACTACATGGGGTGACTTAAAAACATTTATTATTAAAAAGCCAGATCACTTGGCCAGATTCAAAATTCCTTCTTAGCCAGGCGGTGGTGGCACACGCCTTTAATCCCAGCACTCGGGATGCAGAGGCAGGCGGATCTCTGTGAGTTCGAGGCCAGCCTGGTCTACAAGAGCTAGTTCCAGGACAGGAACCAAAAAGCTACGGAGAAACCCTGTCTCGAAGAAAAAAAAAATCAAAATTCCTTCTTTAACTGTTTTAAGAAAAACACAAAGGAGTAGACTAGAGTAAAGTGATTCTGTTAAGAAAGAGATGGAGGGAAGGGGAGGGGCGGGGCATAGCATAGCCCTTCTACGTTTCCCTTTTCCTCAATAGATACTTGCTGACTGAAAGAGCTACAACAAAAGATTAGAGGACTCTGATCGACAGAAGTGTCATCAGACAGTTATTAAGTGCCACAATCAGATGCAAGAGTTTAATTGCAGAGTGCTTGAGAATATCTGTCTGTCTTCAATATATGTCACTTACTAACTTTTTAACGTGTGGTGTGCGCGCACGTGTGTACACAGGGCAGACATGGCATCAGTACTTGTGGAGCTCAGGACCAACACTGATGCTTCCTTCTAGCAAGCTCTAGCTTAGTTTTTGAGACAAGTTTTCTCTGAGCCTGAAGTTCACCAATTCAGTTGGAAACAGCTGGCCAATGAGCTTCAAGATCTATGTCTCTCTACCTGGCCCAGTGGGATGCTGGGTGGAACATGTGCTGCTAGCTCTCCACTTCTAACTGGGGCCTGGGGATCTGAACGCAGGTCCTCTTTCTTACACAGCAAACGCCATCTCTCCATCTTGCCTCACTTAAATAACAAATTAATATACATGGGTGTAGACAGAGGTCAAGATTTGGGTGTCCCTCCATCATCATTTGCCCCTTATTTGTTGAGACACGATCTTCCACTGGACCTAGAGCTTAGTGATTAGCTAGACCGACTGGCCAGCAACTCCCGGGTTTTCCATCGCTGCCTCCTTATTGCTGGGATTATAGGTGCAAACTGCTAAACCCAGACTTCTGAATCTGGGCGGAAGATTAAACTTAGGTCCTCGTACACACATGACAAGCACTGATCTGCTGGACTGAGTACACACGTGACAAGCACTTATCTGCAGGACTGAGTACACACGTGACAAGCACTTATCTGCGGGACTGAGTACACACGTGACAAGCACTTATCTGCGGGACTGAGTACACACGTGACAAGCACTTATCTGCGGGACTGAGTACACACGTGATCTGCTGGACGGACTCCTCTCCCTAGCCCCCAACTGACTTTGAATGATGAAATTCTAAATACCATCATGCATACTGTAAATTCCAACCTAGTAATACACTGAGCTATTACACAGCCCTTACCATTGTAGGATATTGTGATCCAGGGGGTTGAGGCTGATAGACTGAATGCATTAAAAACTGTTGCTGAAGTATCTGTTGCTGCTGCATTGCATGCTGATACTACGAGAGGAAAAAAAGAAAAACAAACAGAAATCAATACTGTGGTGGTTTGAATGAAAATGGCCTCTACAGTCTATGATGTTTGAATGCTTGCTCCCCAGTTAGTGGTACTATTTAGACAGAATTAGGAGGTCTAGCTTTGTTGGAATAGGTGTGGCCTTGTTGGAAGTGTGTCTCTGGGGATGAGCTGAGAGGTTTCAAAAAATCCATGCCAGGTTCAGTCTCTCTCTCTCCTCTCTCTCCTCTCTCTCTCTCTCTCTCTCTCTCTCTCTCTCTCTCTCTGTTCTGGAAACTTGGAGATCAGATGTGGGCTCTCAGCTACTGCTCCAGCACATGCATGCCTGCCTGCTGCCACATTCTCCACCGCGATAACAGGCTAACCTTCTGAAACTGTAAGCAAGCACCCAATTAAATGCTTTATGAGTCACCTTGATCACAGTGTCTCCTCACAGAAATAGGTCAGTAATTAAAACAAGTAATATCCATGCCTTTTCAATCCCAGAGTTTTTATTGTGGTTTGGTTTTATTTTGTGTGCATCATGAGTGTACAGTGCCCACAGAGTCCAAATGAGGGCATCAGATTCCCTGGAAATGAGGTTACTAATCACTGAACCATCATGTGGATGCTGGGAATTGAACTTAGGTCCTCTGGAAAGCAGCCAGTGCTTTTAACCATTGGGCCATGTCTCCATCCCAAGTTCTGTTTTTGTGAGCATTGATTTTATCAGGTCAATGGTTAAGACAGTCAAGTCTTAAAACCAATATAAAACAACTACAATCTGTGACTGTCACTTTATATGTTTATAGAATAAGTTTTAAAGTAGTAATAGAACACAGTTTAGCTAAAACTGTATCCGCACAATTTAAGAATGTTTGGAAGAAAGCTAACAAACACTTGTCAGCATTTCCTAGTTGATGAAGACAGCCTTCAGCCATCTCTGACTCATTACAGTCAGTCTTCAGGTTCTTCGCCTCCTTCCATGTTTTCTGGTGTCTCATGGCACCACCTCCTCACCACCCTCTCTGTTTCCACCAGCCAGCAGCGGAGGAAGCGACATAATGAAAAGTGTCACGTACACAGTTAGCTCCAGACGGAGAGGAGACAAAGATGGAATGCTTGTGCGTACAATTGGTTCCATTTAGGAAGGTTTAGTGAGACCAGAATTTTGCAGGTTTCTATAAAGCAAAATTCAGAATAATGTTTCTTTTTGATTCAATGCCAACACAGTCAAAATAATGAGAAATTAAAAATAGGACTACAGAAATGACTCAGCAGTTAAGGGCAAGGGTCATAGCCAAAAATAATAAAATAATAAAAAGGCGTTACTTTTGAAAATATATCAGTTTTTACGCAGCACTGAAATATAAAAAAATATAGCAAATATAAAGTGTGGTGTTTATTTCTGAGTACAAATGAACACTTCTGGTTCATAAAGCCAGGATGTGGCCTATTAAAAGAGCACCTCTTCCTTCAGCATCATATTCTCCCGTGAGCAGGAAATCAAGGGAATTGTTTGTTTTAATATGCCTATGATACAAAAGTGAATGCAATAATATTCCATCGCTGTGTGAATCTCACACACTTCCCTATCTAACGTAACAAAAATACTACCTGCTGCAAATAAGCATTTTGAAGTAGCTGTTGCTGCTGCTGTTGCTGCTGCTGCTGCTGTTGCTGCTGGTGAGGAACGCGATGCAAATGAAGTTGCTGTAATCTCCAGTCTCCCTGCTGCAGTTGCTGGAGGACTCTATGTTGTTGTGGTGGCTGCTGAGGGGGACCCTGACTCATTAAGACTTCAGACCCATTTCCAGGTCTCTGCGCTCCTATAGTTCCAAAAACATTAATACACAGGTAATTTACAAAACAGCTGATTTCAAGTTATTTAATTAGGACATTTCTATGGTTTTATAGTGGACCTCTGTGTCTACATTACACAGTCTACACCAAGTACTCACCACAACTGTAAGTGCCTGTGGAGTGTCATTTTGTCATCTACAACAGATCAGTGTCTTAGGAGTGCACCATGTGTCACTTTCATCTTCCTGCCCCCTAGAGCAGCCACACGCAAACTTGTTCCCAACACGGCTCGCTGGCCAGGTCTGAGAGCAGCATTCCCATCTACTGAAATCTCAACACTTCAAGTTCAGGGCAGGTATCTTTCTTGTTCCCTCCCCTAGCACTTCCTCTTAATCTCTGACGTTTCACTCACCTTTCACATACCAATGGCTTCCAGTGCTGTTTGCTTTTACTTTCCTACTGTTGCAAATACATATTTTCTCACATAATACATCCTTCCCCTCCCGTTACTCCTCCAGTTCCTCCGCACTTCCCCTCCCATCTGTCTCTCACTAGAAAACAGACTTCTAAGGTATGATAAAATATGATGGCCCACAACCATCTAAGATCCCAGTCTCAGGGGATCTGATCCCCTTTAGGTCTCCACAGGCATATCCATGCACACAAGCACAGACATGCATGCAGATAAAAAACACCTACACACATAAAATTAACATAAATAAATTGGAGGGAGGGACAGAACCAAGGAGAAAAGAACTCTCACAGTACAGCAATCACCCTGAGAAATGACAGACAGATCTGCATGGAAATAAAAGGATGTTGTGCAGCACAGAAGGAAGATACTATCTAGACACAGAAAACTTTTACACTAACAAGAAATTCACATATCTAGAATCTATAAAGAACTCCAAAAATTAAAGACCAAACCCCATCCAATCAAGATCCATAACATGTCCCATTCCTGTTTCCCTACAGAACCCTAAGGACTCTGCGCATGATCACCACACACGGCTGCTGTGGCTCGAGTACCTGACATGCTCTCCCACAGGCTCCTGCAATTGAGCACTGGGTTCTTTGGGAAGATGCAGAACCCCGAGGATGGAACCTGACTGCAAGGGTAGGCCACTGGAAGCAGGTCCTCGAGGCTTTATAGGCCGGCCCCCCTCTGTTCACCCGCTGTTTCCTGAGTGCACATGCCATGTGACCACTAAGCCTTCAACTCCTGCCACCATGCCTCCCCTGGCTGCTGCCATGTCTTCCCCACCATGGCGAACTGTGAAGGAAAAACAAACAAGGAACCTTTCTCCCTTACACCGCTCTTGCCAGGGTACTTTATCGCAGCAACCGGAAAAGAAACGGTCACCATACCCAAATCCTTGAAAAAGTCCTTTCAAACACTGTCGCTGAGGAAGCTCAGGGATGCGCACACTTTAGTGACAAACCAAGACTAGGAAGATGTCCAACCAGGGAAGGCAGGAAAGAGGGAACACCAAATGTCTACCTGAGATGGAATTTTCCATATGCCCGAATACTTCCCACAGTTAAAAGTAAGGGAGTAAGATATCACAAGATCAAGTCAGTTCCCACAACACAAATGGTGGCTGATAACTGCCAGTAACTCCAGTTTCAAGGCATCTGATGCCCTTTCCTGGTACACAAACATACAATGCAGCCAAACACTCACATACAAAAAATAATTTCTAAATGAAATGGAAATTATATACAAAATGTCATCATCTTTTTTTCCCGTGGAATTAATATTCCAGTTGAATAGCACAAACTCACTGCAGCAATATGCCAGGTAATGTGAAGATAAACATCCCTTCTCTGAGCCAGACTTACAATAGCAAATAACAGTCATCATTTCATAGCATCACTGGACCAGACCTTACAGTAAGCCGTCATTTAAACTTCTATTAGATACTATTAGATAGGTACTCATATTTTGTTAGATATGTTAGTTTTAAAAATGGGAGAAATGTAACTCAAATAACATTCATGAGTCAAAATATGTGATCTTACCCACTACAGTATCTGTAATAAAAACATTTCAACATTAAAACAAGACAGATTTGTCAGGAAATATTGCACGAATCAGGGTTTATAGAAGGTGATTCTGCAGATTACATCTTTGACATCTTTAGAAATTAAATTTACTTTGTCATAAAGACAGTTCCCTGTGAGGAGGTTTTTGGTATTACACTTATCATAATGCATTTAAGATTATAAAAACAATTTCTCAAAATCAAGTAAGAACAGTGCTTACACCGTGATACCCATATGGTTCCTTCACCAGGGCTCTAGAGGCTTATGCCCTATGGAATGTAAGCTACTTCCTGCCCAGTACAACACAGGATCTCCGACACCTGTTACTGCCACCCTCAAACCTACTAGCTGATGATTCAAAGATGAGCTTCCATTTCTATATCAAAAAAAACCCTGATATTTCTCTATATATATTTAAGTTACTAGTAACTTTACCTTTAAAACTTCAGAACAAAGTAGTCCAGCTTATTAGACATCAATAGACAGGTTCTTGTAGGGAGCAGGATATGTGTGCCTGTGCACACTTGTCTATATAGGTGTGCTCACACATATGCAGAGGTCAAAGAGGGGTTCAGTGTCTTCTGCAGTCATTTTCCCACCTTTTCTATCTTCTGATACAGAGTCTCTCACTAAATCTAGGGCTCTCATTTCAGTCAGATTGGCTAGCTAGCAAACCTACGACCAGCCTGTCTCTAGCCCCTAACCCGCCCACCATGGTCCCACGCGTTTGTATGCCCCACACTGGTTACAGGAGCACAGTGCTGTGCCCATCTGTTGTACTGCGGTGCTGGGATCTAAGCTCAGGTCCGCATGCCTGCACGGCAAGTACTTTACCGACTGAGCCACGTATCAAGCCCCATTTCTTAAAGTGTGTGTTCTATGCTTTAGGAATCAAACCACGTCGCGTTTATCCATACCATGATAACTGTCGGGAGAGATCAGAACTGCAAAAGCTAATTACCTTTAGGCTTGTGGTTACTGAATTCACCAGGAGCAGGAACTTTAACAGGCGTAGCTGAACTCTGAATGGCCAGCACACTGGAAGTGGCAGTAGTGGAATTGGCCTTTGGTCTTTGTCTTGGTGCAATTGAGGTTTCTGTTGGTCCAATGGTATCTGTTATTCTATAATAGAAAAATATAATTTATTCCAAATATTAAGATTATTTCTAGTTACTATTCATTCTATACATTAGAGTTACAGATGACCACATTAGTCATTTTGGATCCCTTCTAAGTATTCACCTCAGAATATATGTTTAATAAAACTAGTAAAGTAGAAAAAAAAAAATACAGCCAGCCACAGTTGTTGAAACTGTACAATTGTTCATAGTCAGCCTTCAAATGGAAGAAAAGGAATCCGACCCCCGAGATTAATGGGCAGCCTGAGACTGACAGAATATAAGCAGAAATCTTCTTATCAGGTTACGGATAAAACTGAGGTTCAGTTCTTTTAAAAGACACAAGAAGTAATAATAACTCCCTAGCTCAGACTCAGAAAAAGGAAAGGGCTCTCCCATGGCAGTGAGACAGTGGACATCAGAGCTGTCAGGCAAGGCTGTCTGCTCACATCCAACCCTTGTTCCCTCCAACATCAGATGAGGGTTAGGAGAAATCTGGACTGGGACTCAGTTTCAGCCCCAAATGCAGTCAGTAAAGTGGTAGGCACAATTTTGAAAGCAACGTGACTAGCAGGCATAGGTGAACTGTCAAAACAAACAAACAAAACCAGAAAACAGGTAAGTTTATGTTTAATATTCATATATGCATATCATATGTCTGGATCAAATCCAATGCCCACTCCCTCCCCTCCAATTTTTTTCCCTACTACCCTCACAACTTCATGTGCTCTTTTTTATTTTATTTTTTGATAGCCACTCAGTTCACTTGGTATTGAAGGTATAGGCATAGGTGCAGGACCAATATAATTTTGAAATTACATATTTTTCAACTTATCTTTCTATAAAGTCAGTATAGAATTTTCGATAACTTTCTCCAAAAATATTTATTTGACGACTTCACTTAATATTATTTCAAATGATTTAACACCTAAAATTGTAGATGCATGGTTTATCAAGCCCACAGCTCCTGCAATCACCACACACACCTACAGTTCTCTCACAATACCTACATGTAACACAAGAGGGAGCTGTACTAACAATGATCTTCCCAAAAGGGGGGGAAAAAACTGCATCAGAGATTTCAAAAAATTAGGGCTGGTAACCTAATTGAACTCAGTCAGTCATGAGAGGATCATGAGAGGAAGACATGAACCTATTATAGAAGGGGTACTGAATGGGAAGTGGAAGGGGGGCAGTCGGGGGTGAAAGATGGATACTCAGCATGGTACAGTACAAGTCCTCTAAAAATGTAACAAAAACAGTAAGATCATTTATATATACAGCCAGCTACAGCTCCTTTTAAGATAATCAAGTTGTCCACAAGAGCATGAATTCTTAATTGCTTAATCATCTCTCCAGCCTCAGATTTTAAGTTTCAACCTACATAATAGAATTCAAACTTATCAATAGAGTAAATAACTGAAAAATAAGGCTTCAAATGTAATTCTTTACCAGGCTTTCTAGTTATATACACATATAACTTCTACAAGCTATATACACTAATGACCTGTGGCAATTATTGTTTCTTTTCTTAAATATAAACAATTGATTTAATAGCTAGTAAGTCAAATCTTAAGAATTGTCAGTGATGAAAATGGCCACAATCCCACAGAGAAGGCAAGACCCGCTACCACATCAGCCGTGAGCATTCCACCTTCACAGATGGGTGAGCGTTCACATGAGAATGGCGTCACACCCGGTATTTAGCACCTGTGGAAGTTTATTTTGTACTCTCAATGTAAGCTATGGAACCACAGATTGGACAACACAGCATCTGGGACACAGGAATTGCTACAGTCAAAATGAGAACTACAGCCTTTTCTTTTACAGAGGTCCTGTTGGCACCAGCAGGGTCTTGCCCACCTGGCTTTCATTTGGCTTTTCTTAGCAGCAGCTTCACTCGCAGTCATTGGCTCAGGAAGAGCTGAGGGAAGAGAAGAATTCTGGGAAGAAAAACATAGTTTTCAATTTAAGTTGTAGTAATTTTTAGACTATAGATAGACTACTAAACCTCTGAAACACTGACTGAGATACTATTATTTTCATGACCCATATTACAGATTATGCAGATATACTCCCCAGATGTAATCTAGAAATACCACATTACACAAATGTCATCTTTATATTGATTTTCTACAGAAATCTCTAGAAGATGAACACAGCATTACAGTATGCAATATTCTTTTAGGTAAATCCTGAGTTTAAAATAAGATTTTATCACAGTTTATACAACTGATATTTCATACTTCTGAAAATAATTACACAACCAGGACAACAATCACACTGTAAATATGACAGGTAACTGTGAGCATAAGCCGAACAGAGGCTGCTCTGCTCACTGAAACAGCAGAGCAGCAACAGAGAGATACTAAGTGATACAGTGAGGGCTTCAGAAAGACACAGCTACCACAAGTTCTTCCACGTTATACAAGAAGAAAACATAAGCCAGAACACAAAGATCTCTACAGTGTTCATCATAGATTAAAATCAATGATGACCCAGAAATTGGGCATTAAAAGGCGCAGAAATCTGGCATGTACAGTTCATTGTAGTATGCAGGAGTGACAAGCAGCCAAAGCCTTTGAGCCAGGCGTAACAGCACACAGTTAATCCTAGCACTCTGGGAGGAATAGGCAGGCTGATATCTGTGAGTTTGAGGCCAGTCTAGTCTATGTAATGAATTCCAGGAGAGCCAGGACTATGTAGAGAGAGACAGACTTTGCCAAAAGAAGAAAAAAAGATAGGAAGGAAGGAAGGAAGGAAGGAAGGAAGGAAGGAAGGAAGGAAGGAAGGAAGGAAGGAAGGAAAGAGGAAGGGAAGGAGGGAGAGAGGGAAGGAGGGAGAGAGGGAAGGAGGGAAGAACCAAAGCCTCTGAGTAAAATCAAGCATTCCCAAATGCGCACTGTGTTTGGCTTAGCCCCGGGCTGTATATTAGCTATAATCATAACTGCTATCCTAGATTTACAGCAGGAGAAGGGGATCAGCCACCATAAAATATAAATTAGCCAGTGATAAAAGAAATCTCTGAAGTCAGGGCTCTCCCTGCACAATGCCGTCTCTATTTACACCAAAGGGTCCCACAGTTTCTCATTTAACTTTGTGCTTAGAGTCTGCCTCAATAATGTCTGATCACAGTTCTCGGTTAAAACTCAAAACACTTAAAATTCTGCTATCAAATACTTCAATACTTAATAACAGCCTATGGTCTGTGACTGACATGTCATGTTGTGTCTCTCTCCACAATCCAAAATATCCTGCTGAAGCTCTCCAGAACACCTGAGTGAAGGCTCAGGCTTGACGCCTACGACACAAGCAGCATCTCACACTATCAAGACCACCTGACAGAAAACAAGAAGCTCTTAAAGCACATGCATGTACATGTAAACACATATAATTAAAGGATTTTAAAGTCTTTCCTACTTGGAAAAGTACTTACGTTGATGTTGGACACTGGACAATCCTTTTTGGCGAATTTAAATGCGAAGTGGGACACTTGAAATATGTCAGGTCTGTTATCCGGATCTGGTTCAAGCATGAACCCTGTAATAACAGGTCAAAACGTTCAATGTCTGACTGAAGACAAGCAGTACAGAAAGGCATATTACAGGAGGGGCAATCTCTCTAGCCTAAGAACAGTGATTCCAGATGACATAGAAGAAATGCTTAGAAGAAATGGCAGAAACTTTTCCTACAAAATGAACTTAACCGTGAACACATTACAGTGGCAGGTAACAACATCTATGTCTGCCCTGGATGGATGGAAGGTGTGCTTACACTCTTGAAAAAGTGGCACAGAACAAACGTGAGTTAACAATACAAAACCAGTGAACTTAGGGAATACTTAATTATTTAAGAAAGCTCCAGGGGTCACAGTGAAGAGGTTGTTCTCCTAGAAGAACCCTTTAAAATAATTCTCACTATAACGCAAAATACCTTTACTTTCCTTTATTTTGAAATTATCCTCATGACTGAGAAAAGGCTAAGTATGCACGTTATATTCATCTAGCAGAGCAGCAGAGGATTGGCACTACAGATTTTAAAAATGCCTCCTTGACATACTATCAATATGGACCACAGTTCTTGGCTTCAATATTCTTTCTCATCATCATGGTCAGAGGTCTGAGCAGTTCTGTATATGTATTACCAACATATTTACATCAACCTTACAGCATGCATCAAGTCCCTGAGATATTCCGTTTAACCAAAAATAACCATTTACTAACATTTATCTATTTCTTGAGTAACTTATATTTCGCTTCCCTGAGGATGAAATTTATATTCAACTCTGTAACTACAGACATTTCCATGGCCAGTTCTACTTCATTACCCTTAAAATATTTCCAATGCTTAACCATGTCAAATGTTTGAAATGAAAATTTACATTAGCTATTCTCAAGTTTTTTAGAGAAGCAGCAAGTGTCCACATTCACAGCACTAAGAGCTACAGGAAACACTGAGAGTCCACGGTCACGGACTAAGACAGAGCTACAGGAAAAGCTGAGAGTCCACGGTCACAGACTAAGTAAGACAGAGCTACAGGAAAAGCTGAGAGTCCATGGTCACGGACTAAGACAGAGCTACAGGAAAAGCTGAGAGTCCACGGTCATAGACTAAGACAGAGCTACAGGAAACAATGAGAGTCCACGGTCACGGACTAAGCTACAGGAAACAGTGAGAGTCCACGTTCAGGGGACTAAACTGGAGCTACAGATCAAAACGGACTCAACTCCTTTCTAAACCTAGTGCCTTGAACAAAGAATGGTAAACAGTGACTCCAAGCGACAAAGCCTAGCTTGTATCAGGAAATCATGAGCTTGATTATAAAAATACAAAATCATCCATCTAATATGATTTATATATTTTTAAAAGCTAAAGTTTATTCTTTCCACAGCCAATACTAAATTAGTAGTGAGGATCCAATCACACAGAACAGGAGATGCATGCCTGTGTTTAGACAAAGGTAAGCGCAGCACCTCTCTTCCAAATATAACAAGGAGAGATACTACTGGGATTGAAAACTGTATATGTGTATATGTGTGTGTGCACCTGCACACATGTGGGCCAGGGGACAACTTCCAGGAGTCAGTCCTCTCCTTCCATGACAGCTTCTGAACAAGGAACTCTAGCAGCATTGACCTTGCTCATTAAGCATTTTTATCCTTGAGCCATTTCCCTGACCGCTGTTTTTAAAACTTACAGGAGTTTTATATACCAAATTTACTTGAAAATTTTAATTTACTCAGTATATTTAGTTTATTTCATTTTTTGGCATAGTCAAATTGATATCAGAAACTAAAATCTTCACATTCATGGTCAAGTAAAAGAAGCATATGCTACACAGTAAACTGCCGATTAATTAAACTCCAATTGAGTCTAAAATTATCAACAGTATTATCATGCTTACCACAGTACTCCACAAACACATTCCCACACACATATGGGGGTACACATAAACACAGAGAAACTCAATACTAGTTAGGAATAAAGTCACATAGCAAGGCATAAGCTGCTCAGTCTTTCGCAAATTACTGGTCAAAGAGAACACTGAGCCTTTAAGACATTTCAAGATCGCCAACAAAACTGTACATTCAATTATTACTAAAACATTATACTTAGCAACAAAGTTACAGCTACAATGGTTTGTAAAAATGTCTTCAATACAACACTGAACTAAACTAGCCAGAGAACAAAGCAACTAAATCCCACACCCTAGTTTTAGGCATTACAATTAATAGGGATTAATTATTTCATGCTTCTGTTTTCCTAAATCTTTTTGAGAACATTATTATATAAAATACAGAGGGTTAAGAGTTTAATATTTATTCAAATACAATGGCGGTATATTTGCTCATTTTCTTAAAAAAATCATTCTACAAAATTGCACACTAAAATAGAAGTCCTATTTTAAAAAGCTAGAGGAATGTCATGAGAGACGACTGAAATCCAAGTCACAGGTACCCGGACCATAACTCAGACTGCCCAGACAGGAAACTCCATCTTGACTGGAGGCTGCCACAGAAAACTGGAGCAAACAATGCTGCTTGACACTTAACCATGGAGACTGAAGCCGAGGCCTAGCGCCCTTACACAGGTAGTGGTGCGTGTGAGGAGCTACACAGCACACAGGAAGAGATCTCTGGAAAGCACGAGTTTAGGGGGCAGTGGCATGCTGAAGAAGTGTGCGTCATAGTACTTCCACAAATGCTGATGTACTACACCCATGAGTTCAGCTATAAGGATTAAATTTGCTGTCTTAAGAACTCCAGTGCCTCAACCCTATGGCAATGGCAAAGCTGTCCCCAGATGAGGCTCAGAAGGATGGCAAAGCCTTCCTTGGGGGAGAGTGTGATGTTGATGGTGTTTTCAGAAAATGTCCTCTATAGCTTCCTCTTACCACTCCCAGACTAATATTTAGAGCATGAAGACCATTCCTACTGAGATTAGATAAACCCTCCTCCTTGGTCAGCTGTAAAGAAAATGTGGTACATTTATACAATGGAGTACTTCACAGCAGAAAAAAATAATGACATCTTGAAATCTGTGGGCAAATGGATGGATCTAGAAAACATCATATTGAGTGAGGTAACCCAGACCCAGAAAGACAAATATCATATGTCCTCACTCATAAGTGACTTTTAGACATAAAGCAAAGAAAAACCAGCCTACAATTTACAATCCCAGAGAACGTAGACAACAAAGAGGGACCATAAGAGAGACATACATGGATTTACTCTACATGAGAAGTAGAAAAAGACAAGATCTCCTGAGTAAATTGGAATCATGGGGACTATGGGAGTGGGTAGAAGGGAGGCAAGTGGAGAAAAATATATAGCTCAATAAAAACGATAGATAGATAGATAGATAGATAGATAGATAGATAGATAGATAGATAGATAGACAGACAGACAGACAGACAGACAGACAGACAGAGGTGCTGAGGCTTCTCCATCACAGTCCTGACCACTGATCCCAGCTTCTCTGTACATATGTCTGTCTTCTTCATTCCCTCCTTATCCCTGCTCAGGGTTCCATAACCCAAGTTTTTCTTTCCACAGCCCAGCAGAGGAGCAGCAAGAGCAAGTGCTCCTGCAGAAACGGGAGCTGTTTCCTGTAGCTCTGTCTTAGTCCGTGACCGTGGACTCTCAGTGTTTCCTGTAGCTCTGTCTTAGTCCGTGACCGTGGACTCTCACTGTTTCCTGTAGCTCTGTCTTAGTCCGTGACCGTGGACTCTCAGTGTTTCCTGTAGCTCATATATTTAAGGCTCTCATATTTAAGTGTGAGCACTTGCAGTGCAACAGCCAAGCTTCAGCTGCTCCCTTTCCCCCTTGATTATTCTGGTTCCCTAGCCTAAGAAAAGCATTCTATGTAATGCAAAGAACTTTGTGTGTGTCAAGCAGATGTAATTCTCCAATTTCCAGTATCTGTGAAGAAATCTGTTTCACATAAATTCTGTGCTTTAAGAGTCATTTATGTCCCTTTTTCTCTTGGACATTATGACAAAATTAATTTAATGTGCAGCCCCATCTCCTTGATTTGCACAAGGCCCATGCATTAGGAAAGTCGACTACTTCTCAAATAAGTAACAAGTGTTATTTGCAATTCATCATTTATGCGAGCATTACTGAATTGGGGGATTTGGTGGGAGCAGTGCCATCGACTGAACCCAGAGCCACGTGCCTACTAGGCAAACATTCTACTACTAAGCAACATGCACCCAGCCCTTGGTTGTTTTGGGTCTTTCCCTTTATAGTGCAGAGTGACCTGGACTTGAGCACTGTGTCCTCCTGCATCTGCCTCCCCAGTGTTAGAATTACACGGATGCCATATGGGCAAACTTAAAAATTTAAAGCTGTATATCACGGGGTTATCTCTTATATCTCCTAGAATCGACAGTCTATATTTTCTACACCCTAGACACATGATTAAATTCATACCAATTTTCTTTCAACACATTTAAATATTTTACTTATGTAAAGCTTTAAGAGAAGAAATGAAGACTTTGTTCTCTTTGTTCACACTCTAGGTGACTAAGAAAAGTATCAATTTCCATTTATTTTCATTAAGTTTAAAAACTGTATCATATAAATATAAAATAAATTTAACTTTTCACTCAGTTCTGTGCCACAGAGGCATAGACGTCTGTTCAAGATGCAGAAAACAGTCTCTTCCGGTCTCTTTGGCCTCGGCGGCAGAAGCAAGATGACGAAAGGAAAGTCATCCTTCGGAAAGCGTCGCAACAAGACGCACACGCTGTGCCGCAGCTGTGGCTCTAAGGCCTACCACCTTCAGAAGTCTACCTGTGGCAAATACGGCTACCCTGCCAAGCGCAAGAGAAAGTATAACTGGAGTGCCAAGGCTAAGAGATGAAACACTACCGGGACTGGGCGGATGAGGCACCTAAAAATTGTCTACCGAAGATTCAGGCATGGATTCCGTGAAGGGACAACCCCTAAACCCAAGAGGGCAGCTGTTGCAGCATCCAGTTCATCTTGAGGATTTCGATCTGTCATAAAATAAACGTTCTGGTTTCCAAAATTAAAAAAAAAAAAAAAGATGCAGAAAACAGTGGAAATCCTAAAGGCGCTTAGTCAGCGCTGTCTCAGGACTGCACTGCCTAGATTACCTTCTGTCTAATGACTGTCTCCTCCTCACAAAACATCCTTCTGAAGTTTACAATGTCCGTGGACAAAATGCTACATTATGGTACCTTTTTAAAAGCAAGCAAAGGCCTTTAAAAGGCTGGAAGGAAATCTGGTTACTTATTAACCACATGGATATTTGGTTTCAAAGATACAAAAATTGAAGAATTAAATGTTATGAGTGTTCCTAGTAACTCTGACTGTCTCAATTATGTAATTGCTGTCATTGCTATTAATTCGTATTGAGGAGGTTAAAAATATCCTGTATTCACTGGTAATTAGATTGCTTTGACCTCTGTACAGGTGAATAATCATTTTTAAATAATTTTACTGTAATTTATAAACATATGAAATTAAAAGTCAAAATTTAAGAAAGAATATAAATAGCAGGCCCTAAATTACAGTATCTATCTTTAAGAACACTCCATACATCTTTCCCAGTACTTACTTATCAAACAATGTATGTTATGGGAGTAGCGAGAATTGTCTGGGATGGTGAAGCTGCCATCACAGATAGCAACCTGGCTCTCACCAAACGGAAGAGTGAAGAAGCAAAGTTTGTATAAGAAACATCCCAGGGCCTATAAAACAAAGAAACAGGAGTTTCGTCAGGACTCAACAATCAGTCACAGACATAAAAACAGTCAAGACCAGAGCTGGGAACGGAGCTAAGTGCTAGACCACTTGCTTAACATAAGCGGCTCCATGAACAAGAAAGCTGAGAGTTAAACATGCTATTTCAAACAAATAAGTTGAATGTTCCTGTTTTGGATCCAATTATTACTTAACCAAGTTAACGTGTTCAATGTTTCTTAAAAGCCTTTAGCTTTATAGTTCAGGGTTTCTCGGCTGCATCTGCAATCAGTTAGATAAGCTACTCTGGATCGTGAGTCACTAAAATTAAGCCTGGCTGGTTCCTTTTGGAGGAAATATTATCTACTTGGTACTGTCCTCATTAGTATTGCCTATTTGGGACAAGCTACATCTGAGAAGAGGCTTCTTTCAGAATGCCGGCAGACAAGTAAATGGGGGTATTTTCTTAAGTGATGATTAATGGAGAAGGGTGCAGGCCACTGTGGGTGATGACCACCCCTGGGCTGGTGATGACGTAAGCAAGCGAGTGAGTAGCATTCCTCCGTGGTCTCGGCTTCCATTCTTGCCTCTAGGTTCCTGTTCTAGCTTCCTCAGTGATGAACTCCAAAGCTGTAAGATTGCTTTTGGTGATGGTGTCTGTCACAGCTGCACTAACCCTGACTAAGGCAGGTCATACATCAACTTACAAGGAAAACGAAGGCTCTTCTAACAAACTTTCCTAAACCTCACTATAAAACAGGCTTGAAGTCCTTTGAGGCTGTCCATCAATAAGACACCAATAGCAAATTTTACTGGTCATTATTTCATAACATAAAAATCAATTCATTGACCAGCAAGGTGGGTCTGGTGAAGGCCCATGGCGACAACCCTGATAGCCTGAGTTTATGCCCAGGACTCAAGTGCTGGAAGGAAAAGATTGTTCTCAAATTGCCCCCTGACCTCCACACATACCCAGAGGCAAAACATAGGTTACACACAATAAAAACATTAACTCCCTGGCCTGGAGAGACGCACAACAGTTAGCACACAGGTGCTGCTCTTACAAAGGACCTGAGTTCAGTTCCCATGTCAGGAGCCCACAAGCACTTGGAGCTCTTCTGGCCTCCACAGGCACCAGCACAGACAACAAACACAAATGTGCATAAATAAAAACATTTTTAATTAATTCTATATTTCTATCCACAATCCTATAATTTTTGCTGTACATTGTACTGTTCTGAGCATCAAAACATACTTTAAAGGTACCTGTGAGGTCTGAGGATGCAGTTCAGAAGTGAAGTGTTTCCTAGTATATAAACCCTTTCAAAAGAAGACAGCAATGGTGGAAAAATGCGTGAAATACATTGCATTGTATAAACACAGTAAATTGTCCCATTATGTAAGAAACAAGAGGGACCCATTAGGCTTTTACAAAGGGTCGTCTTCGTGTTCAATTTTCTTCTCTAAAAGGTAAATACAGGATTTCTATTAAGCATCCTAAATGTCAGGATAAAAATAACCTACAATGGAAACTTTCAAAAAAAAATGTTTGCCAAAAATATGAAATGTTATATAACTACTTTCACCTGAACACTGTAATTCTTTTAATTAGTTTATCTTCTTGAACCAGAACCAGCAAACACAATTCTTGACCAAAGTGAATGGACACACCTACAGTGTAGTGTTTTTCTGTTCCTTCTGTGCTAAGACAAGCATAAGACAACCACCATGGACACAGAAACTGTTCTTCTTTTGAATGGGCAAACAGACTCCATATTAATTCTTTCCTAATCTTTGACGACTATTTGCACATACACTAAATCTATTTTAGAAGTGACAAATGAGAAAAGATCCCGTTCTCTGCATTAAGAGAACATAGTAATATACATAATAGTACATAATAATCGTGTGCTTCAAGAAAAATAATTCATCAACTCCCATTGGTTTCTGAGTGGTGATGAAGCTGGTTTCTGTGGGTTCTGTGTTGCTGGAACTCTCTCAGGTAATATGGAACCGAACAGAATCATAAAATCAGGGTAGAAAAGATCGTTGTAATATGTTGTAATATAAGAAAAGATCTTGTAATACGTTTGCTTTAAGATGCAACTCACTTTGCTTTCTACATTACATATACTCTTCAAATTTACTATATGTTATCAAATCAATCCGATGCTAATGCCGAGGACAGGAAATTGTCACAATGTCAAAAAAACTAAAGCAAACTTGCTTCCAATTTGCTTTAATCTTACATAGTTTAAAATTCAATTACCTTAAGAATCCCTGACAAAAGAAAAATGTGTTACAATAAGCAAATGAGAAGATCACAGAGAGATGATTGTCCTGCAAGACTATCTGTCTGCTGGGGCTCCCGCGGCCTCCCCTCCAAGGAGGAAGCAGGCTGGGGAACCAGCAAGCAGAGAGTGCTGGCTGGCACACACTATACATGTGGAGCTAGCAAAGTGGCTCGAGGGGTCTGAACAGAATCGCTGGAAGCCACATGCTATATAAGAAGATCAACTAATAAAAGTTGTCCTCTGAGCGCCTCCACACACACGTTGTGACATGTAGCCTTACACACAAAATAGATACTTTTTTAATTAATAAAAATCAGAACTATCACACTTCTTTTCTAAGTTCTAGAATTATTTCAAAAACTTATATTCCTCTATTGTTAATATGTTCATGCAAACACAGCTAACAGTTATTGTTTAATGCATTTGGGTTATACAAACAATTATTAAATACAATCCAAAATATATTTTAAATACAAAACAAGCTTGAAAAGATGTGAGATTCTAAACAAGCTTTTCTATAAATTACCACTATCTGTTGGTATAATTAATCCAGAGATAAATATATACTAAATGATAAGGATTTTTATTAAAGGGTAGTTAATAACATGTTTAGATTCAGAAAAGGTTTACTTTTGTTAGTTTCCATTAAAAACATCATAAAATATTCCAGAAGTTATACTATAATTGCTTAGCAGTCACATCCAGATTTTCTATATTGCCATCAGCCAAAATTCCACTCGTTCAAAACTGAAAAAAAAATGTGACCATTCACTTAGGATCTAAATTCTAAAAACTACTGGGCAGTAGTTACATAACATACAGGTACCCCCTTTCTTGAATGTAGGCAATCCCACCTCCTAAATTAGAAGATCCTAGCATTCTATTTCTGAGGGAGAAGCTCCTTTCCACATAGAAAGGATGTCACTGGGGAAGCCAGAAGACAGGAGGCAGCTCAACTCCGACTCCTCTGGTTAGAGCAAAGATTGGCCTTCGAGCCTTACCCAGATATCAGCCTTGGTGGTGATGGGTTTCCCGCCATAAAGGTTGATCATTTCCGGGGCTCTGTATGACAGAGTTGTGTACCTGGCAGCATGAGGGAAACAGAGGAGACACATTCAAAACAAAGGGGCAAATGAGACACGCTTCCCTAAAACACAGAAGGCAGAATTCATAATAATATAAATGGACCACCTCTATCACAGTGAGATTCGGTTTTAGTATTTATACATTATTTTACAAGAAGAATCTTAAATCACAACATTCTAATACCTTACTGGTGAATACGGTCTGAATGATACTATTACAGAGGAACTAGAATATAAACTGCGTAATGGCAAGGCTTCTATCATTATATCCCGTCACCAAAACCAGGGTTTGGCCCTGAACAAATACTTGTTAACTCAACAGACCATCAACTCTTCAATTCAGCCACAAAGGATACGAATTCTTAGTGAGCTTACATGCCATATCACAATCATCACAAAAATTTAACTGAGCATCCCACAATGCAACAAATGAAACGTCTAGCAGACCAGAGATACTGGAGACCTCAAGCAGCCACTAGAAATCTTCATCCACAAGATGTTTTAATTATGTGATGTACATGGATCCCAACAGGCTAACCTGCAAGGCTTCTGCTCTTGTGGTTCTCCAGGACATTTGTGTTTGCTATGGGCTTGTTCTTATAGAAGCTAATACAATGGTTCTAGGCTGTTTTCTGAGTGAAACACATAGTCCACACTACCTGTCACTGCTTTACAGTCTCTATGACTGCATCCCACAAGTGGGTCAGTCTCCAGCTCTCTCGGAACAGCTTCCTTGCCCAAACCCTGAGAATCAGTGAGGAAGCAATAAGGAGACTACTTAAAAATGCCTATCCTGATGAACCGCTGCCCTCTATGTCCTATCATGATAGACCGCTGTCCTCCCCGTGTCCTATCCTGATGGACCACTGTCCTCTATTCCTATCCTGATGGACCACTGTCCTCTGTGTCCTATCCTGATGGACCGCTGTCCTCTGTGTCCTATCCTGATGGACCGCTGTCCTCTGTGTCCTATACTGATGGACTGCTGTCCTCTCTATGTCCTATCCTGATGGACCGCTGTCCTCTGTGTCCTATCCTGATGGACCACTGTCCTCTGTGTCCTATACTGATGGACTGCTGTCCTCTCTATGTCCTATCCTGATGGACCGCTGTCCTCTGTGTCATTTCAGTGCTCTAATACAAACTGCTAGTTGTACTTTCTGAAACTAAAAAGCAGCAAAGTTAGGTTCTCACAGTAGCCTGGCAACCACAGAAAGCACAGGATTGAGAAATAAAAAGCTGTGTGACATTACCCGAAAAAGCTTTGCAATATGACGCTAAAGAAAGAGTAACTTCATACAGTCTGAGCACTTACACTTTCACACAAGTACATATGATACTCTCTGGCAACAACAGCTAACATGTCTCGAGCTCTTTACTCTTGCAAATGCACCACTGTCCTGTCTTGGTAAAGACAAAGACACTACACTGGACTCACAATCACTTAAGGAACTGGAGAGATGACTCATGGTTAAAACTCTGTTCTTGCAGAAGACCAGGGTTCAGTTCCCAGCACCAACTATTCAGAGAACCCAAGGCACTCTTCTGACCTCCACAGATACTACACACACATGTGGTACACGAATATACACACAGGCCAAACATTCATACTCATGTAAGAATAAATCTTTTTAACTCAAATTGCTTAAAACTCTCTTAATGGGTCTATTAACTAGTACCACTTATTTTATAAGTTTCATTATTAGTCTGTTTACCACATAGACAAAAAATTTCATTCATGGTATTCATTGACTGTCTATTAGATTGTCTAGTCACATACTAATCATTTCTATTATAAAGGAATCTACAAATGGAATCTTATAAAATGTGTATTAATGTAGCTAGCTGGCTACAGACTCAAGTTAATCAAAATGCCTGTGATACAAAATGCAATAAAGGTAAGCACTTACTTTTTAATTTCTTCTTCTACTACATTAACTCCATCTTTTTGAGGATTGAGAAACTTATTAGTGGCACTGCCAAAGTCACAAAGAACATAATTTCCGGCATCATTTAGCAAAATATTTTCTACCTTAAGGAAAGAAAATCAATTGATTACTATTTTCAAAGTTAAAATTGTCTTTTTTAACCTGTTTTCATTGGGTGCCTGGTGTACATATATACACACATACATGTATGTATATACAGACATAAGACACCTCAAACAAAGGCAATGAACCAGAGCAGGCAGTAGTACATCCCTGAATGACCCCAGAACTCAGAGGCTGAGCCAAAAGGCCAGAGGTTTAATGAAAATGGCTAACCCTAACCTCCTAAATTCTCTATATGAACAACTAGTGAAGGCCAAGATCTTCTTTGAGTATATCTACATCTTTCTCTATTCCTAAGACTTCCGCCTACCTGGAGTCAAGGAGTAATAGAAAATATTTAAATTCCATTTCAATTTGGTTTCTATAGGTTGAGTATTCACATGCAAAATGCTTAAGACCAGAAGTGTTGCTGGTTTGGGATTATTTTTTATGCTGGGTGAGGAGGGTGGAAATTCAAGAATAAAAATAAATTTCATTCACATTCCATCAATACCTTATACATTAAGTCTGACAGTAATTTTATACAATTAACTGCAGTTTGAAGCACGTGATCAGGTACAGAATTTCACACTGACGGCACCACCATATCAAGTCTCAATAAAGCTAAGACAGTGGGCCTTTTCAAATGTACACTTTCTGATAAAGAAGCCTAGCCTATACCACCATTTTTATTTAAAATTCCTACAGTGCAAAGAGAAATTTAAATTTATACTTTAACTTGGAGATCAAAGTTAAAATAATTAAAACAAAGTACAAATACTCCAATATCTTGAATTCGACAATGCCAGTTCAGAGAAAGTCCCATCTGCTGCTTACTCAGTGCTTACGTCATTGGACAATTTGCTTAGCCACTCCCCTCTCTGGTTATCTTAGCCAGAAAACAGGGAAGATAATAGTTACTATGACAGGTTAGAATAGCCAAGGTACTCAGAACACGGTCTGGAATATATTACGAACCAAATAAATATTATGGCAAAATCTTTTATTTACCTACTTATTTTCATTACTGAAATGCTAATAAAGTTTACTTCAGGCTTTCATGATTATCAACAACCAACATTCTAAATGACATTGGTTATTTTTGTTATCATAAGATATACAATTGTATTAAATCAGTCAAAACAGTCATTCACTTCTTTACTAAACAACCAAGAGCCTCTGCTACATGCCATGCACTGTCTATGAGCTTGGCTATCACACACACACACACAAACCAACACCAAAGGCCTCATGATCCTTATCCCCTAGTGGAAAGAGCGGACAAAACACAATGAAACTACACAGGATCTTTGGGAGGGTACAGGAGCAGGGAGAGAAAGAAAGAAACACTCTAAATTCTAAGTGCAGAACAAAAGTGTCTCGTGGTCCTTACCTTCAGATCCCGGTGAATTATGGGAGTCTTACACTGATGCAACCTCGCAACAGCTTCACAGGTGTTGCAGAAGATCTGTAAGACTTCTGATTCAGTGAAGCCCGTCTGCAGCTTCTTGTTCATCTGATTCACTACCTGCCCAGCTGAGCAAAGATACAACTCTGAGGATGCATTCTGATAACGTCCGCCAGAAACAAAGACTCAAAGTGCCCTTCCAGCACTAGCTCAGACCTCCCCCAGGATGCTTACACCTGCTAAGATGACATCTGACACATGTCTCGGAAATAAGAGCACCGTAAAAAGACAGCATCTTGCTAATACTATTTGCCATTTTTTTAAACATTTAACCATTTCTGAAATTGAAGTTTTCCTTATGATTAATGAGGTATATATTTGAAGCAAAAATCAACACTGTTTTGTACTGGGTAAAGTATGATAAACAAAATAAGATTTCTAGTATCATAGAAGATAGTGTCTCGAGATAAAAAACGACACAGCCATGACTATAATTCATAACATTCCATAGTAAGAATGAGAGAACTCACATAAGAAACTTGAATTTAGACTGAGGGAAGGATGGGAAGAAAGGGGAGCAGATCAATTTAGGCTGAGACAGAATGATCACTAATTAACAAGGCCAAAGAGAACCTGTGGGTAATGAACGTTATGTTCAAACATCTCTGTTAGGTAGGGATTTGCTGACAACAGTTACTGATAAAGAGCTGCTGCTGATTCGGCTGAGGAGGCACAGAAAGACAGGTGTGACTGAGGCACTTCAGACACCAGCAGCCACATTGCATACTTAATTCTTGAAAGTCAAAGAGAACTATAGATCTGACTGTTAAACACTGCCTTGATTGTAAGATAAGGGGATCTAAAAAGACCACTAAAGCTTTATTCCTGGTAATAACTAATAGGGCTGGGAGAAAGAGAATCAATAATCCTGCCCAGCTGTGGACTATGCATGCCGCTGACCTGGCAGGTAAGACGGCTGTCTGCAACAGTGCCATTACTGTGGAAGGGTGACGAGCTGCTTTCTGACGGGATCTCAGGCCTGCTCCACAGGAGGGAATCGTGTTACTGCCAGGCTGAGCTCCAACTCAAGATCCTCCTCACCGTGGCCTCTTTAGCATATCCCACCAGTACAGGCTGACATGTCAACCATATTCCTGATACTACAAACCTAGTCAAAAGCTCACAGCTGTGGAGCTCACAGACACAGACAGAGGGTTTGTTGCTCCGGGGACAGGTTGTCAAACTGCCTTCTACCATTTATGTTTGTACCCTGGGACAATGCTCTTCTCAGCCTTGGCCAGAGAAGCTTTTTCTTTCAATTCAGTAGTTAAGACAGAAACTCCAGGCCAGGAGTCTATAAACAGAGCAAGCTTCCTGAGGCCATAGACCTCCGAGCAGTTACTGCTGGGGGAGACATGGCCATGTTGTTCAGTGGTAGCCAACAGTCGGCTGGCTACCCACGCTCGAACAAATAACCTACAACCATGCTCTTACAACTACCCCAGATTAACTAAGTGGGTCATTCGTGTGTGTGTGTGTGTGTGTGTGTGTGTGTGTGTGTGTTCACATCCAAATGAGAAACAGATTCACTGGGAAAAGGGGAGAGAGAGAAAGCTCAGGCTCTTCTGCAGGACTTGCTTCTATCTGCATAAGAAAATCTACCCAGGAGAGCCTACTAGAGCCAACAAGAGCAAGAAAGACAAGAAGTAAAACTACTCCAACCAATCACAGTTACCAAACAGTCATGTGAACAGGCTCTGACAAATCAGCAGTGCCTCCCTGTCAGGCTCGGCCCACAGCAGCTGATAGACAGATCCACAAGCAATCAAAAGCAACTATTGCTTTATGCTACCAAATTTTCAAGTGTTTTATTTTCAAGTAAAAGCTAATAGAGATATAACTTACAAGATTTAATACAAAGCAGCTTCTAAAATGAACTTAGAAAGACACAAATGGCCATAATTGTTCATATTCTATTTTTAAAACAATAGAAATACATTCAAAATAACCATATTGATGTCCAGAAATCTCTATCTCTTTAACTCAGTGGTTCTCAACCTTCTTAATGCCGCAACCCTTTAATATAGTTCCTCATGTTGTGGTGACCCCCTAAGCATAAAAATTATTTTCATTGCTACTTCATAACTGTAATTTTCCTACTGTTATGAATCATATATAAATATCTGCTATGTAGGATATCTAACATATGACCCTTGTGAAGGAGTCACTCAGTCCACGGGGGTATGACTCACAAGTTGAGAAGCACTCTTAAGTGATGTATGAGAAAACTAGCAAGTAATACCAAAACATGAATTGAGAGGTGAGAGGCAACTGTACTGCACAGAAAATGGCAGTAAGCATCGAGAACCCCAAAGCATGGAGCGGGTCACGCTCAGGTTACCTAGCACATTCTTCTACTTCCCACTGAGGCTCAGCCCTACACAATCAGTGTGTGAGCTGTGTGTGTTACACAAGGAACTTCTACAAAAGAAGGAAGGGGACAGAATTCCTTCTCCCATTCTCTGCTCCTCCAAAACACTCCTACCCCATGAGAAAAAGAATGTATCTATTTGATTCATATGACCAAAAAAAAAAAAAAAAAAAAAACCCCTGCTCAGGCCTCTGAATTCATTCTCCTAAGATAAAATTGCCAATCTAGAGGGTACATTCCGATCTGTGATACACGCAGCAAACGTCTCACATGAGGGAGACTGAGTAACAAAGCAGAAGAATCTGGGAGCAGTTAGAATAAAAGGGAAAATACTTCAAATGTTTAATTTTTTTAACTTAAAAAAAGATTTATACCTAAAATAAGAGCAACAGGTATTTTATTGAAAAATAAGAAAGGACTGCTATAAATTAAAATAATAAATCAAAAGTACAAAAATCCTATAGAAAACCATCATTTACACATACTTAAGGAAACTTCCAACAAAAGCAAAAACTAAAAAAAACTGGAAAGATAACCAGAAGAACAATCACCACAGGAAGACAAACATCCATTTCAAACAAGTTTCAGAAAGAACACAAGAGAAAAAGGTTGGTGTCTTACAAAAAGAATACAAAAGCTAGTTGGAAGGTGGTGCATGCCTTTAATTCCAGCACTTGGGGGCAGAGGCAGGCCAATCTCTGAGTTCAGAGCCAGCCTAGTTTACAGAGCAAGTTCCAGGACAGTCAGGGCTACACAGAGAAACCCTGTCTCAAAAAAAAATATCCAAAACTGGCATAAATGAAGTATACAAATTATAAGATTTCAATACACTGGAGATAAATGCGAAGTTACCTGATAGTGTCCATGCAGAAAATGAATCTCATAAAAAAAATCAATCATCACACTAGTAGAGAGAAAAAGAAACAATGCAATGCCTGCATCAGTATTACCTCTATGCTAGAATCTTTTTTCTAACCAAATTAACAATCAAATGTGGACACAGAATAAAGACGTGTTTGTCTATGGCCATCCCCTGCCCCGAATGTGCCCAATTTCAACTGACCTCAAAAGCTAAGTAATATCAAAGCTGATTAGTACTTTAAAGGGAAAATAAAGACATATTTACAAATTGAAGATATCAAAAATATTTCCACCCATAAACTCATATCAAAAAGTTTAAGAAGGGCTGGACAGATGGCTCAGAGGTTAAGAGCACTGCCTGCTCTTCCAAAGGTCCTGAGTTCAATTCCCAGCAACCACATGGTGGCTCACAACCATCTGTAATGAGATCTGGTGCCCTCCTCTGACAAGCAAGCATACATGGAAGGAATGTTGTATACATAATAAATAAATCTTTAAAAAAAAAAAGTTTAAGAGAAATTAATTAGTCCAAGAGCGTGGAGATGCAGTCCAGAGGTGGTCCACTTGAGAGCCATACATCCGGCCCTGGGCTCACTCCCACACCTAACATTGGGGAGGGGAATAAAAAGGAGTCAAAGATAGAGAAAATCAAGAACTCCCAAGGGACATCTAAACCCTGTCTAAAATCAGCCAGAAGAATGTCATCTCTGTGAAGAGTGCTTCCGAGAGAGAGGAAAATGAAACTCACACAAGTGTTACCATGTTTAAGCTTGCCACACAGACTTGAATTTCTACTGAGGAAGATGGGCTAAAATAATAACACACCTGAAGAAATTAGGCAAGTGAAAAATTGGACAATTACTAATTCCAGGACAATCTTACTGTACGAGAGAAAAGGTAACTGTACACTACTGCATGCCGCCCTTGTGGATGGGAAATAACAAGGTGAAAACACAGACTTCGTCCGAAAGCTAAGCATAGGTAACACTGGAGTCAATCTCATCTTGCCTTGGAGCACAGCAATGCTTCTCACAAGAGCCTGCTCCTACCAGGATCCATATTACACTGGCTCCCTCAGTTCCCTCATTCCACGCCTCCACATGCTAAGAACACCAACTCCCACTTACAAGACAACCTAGAAATACAGAGGGAGAATCTGAGAAGCAACATCTCGTGCATCTTAAATCACTCTCAGGAGAGAGAAGGCGTCAACAGGCTGTCAATTAACCCATGGCTTAATAGACTATGCTGGGCTTCTGCTGTTCCTGCTGCTGCTTGGTTTGGGACAGTTTCAGAGAGTCTCACTATGTAGCCATGGATGGCCTAGAACCCTCTATATAGACCAGGCTGGCCTCAAACTTACAGAGCTGCATCTTCCCTGCCTCCCTAGTGATGGGATTAAAGGTGTGCACCACCACACCAGCTATTGGGCTTTTTGAGCCATATCACAAATTACTTTGCTTTTTTTGTTGTTGATGATTTTTATTTTGTGAGTCTTTTGACTTCAGGTATACATATGCACTGCATGCCTGTTGGTGCCTGTGAGAGCCCTAAGAGGGTGTTAGAGGCCTGAAACAGGAGCCACAGGTAGTTGTGAACCAACACATGGGTGCTGGGAATAGAACCCAGGTCCTCTGCAAGTGCAGTCAGTGCACTTAACCACTAAGCTATCTCTCCAGCCCTACATAAAACACTTTTGATTTAAAAACTCCTATGAAACAAATCTTGCTGATTCAAACACCAGATAAGCATTTCTATTTTTACAAAACCAAGTAAAGACACCATGTTTGTAGAGAATGGACTAAGTGCCCTTCTCCTCTCCATTAGGACATTCAGGAGTCAGGGACAGTTTATATTTGCTATTATTACTAAGGCATGCCATGCAAGTAAACATTTATTTATCATGTTAGGTCTAAATAAACATTTTCTGATAAAATGAATGTTTTAAAAATGTAAGGAGTATATATTAAAATGCTGCAGGTTTTATGGGGCTGGAGAGATGGCTGCTCTTCCAAAGGACTTAGGTTCAATTCCCAGCACCCACATGACAGTTTACAACTGTCTATAACTCCAGCGCCAGAGAATTCGACACCCTCATACAGACATACACATAGACAAAACACCAATGAACATAAAATAAAAATAAATCACTTTTTTAAAAAATTCAGGCTCTCTAACTTAAAAGAAAGGAGAATCAGGAGTTCATGGGCAGCCTGGGCTATATGAAGCCCTGTCTCACAGAGAGAAAAGCAAACAGTGACTGAAGAGACAGCTCAGCTGGGAAGGTGCTCGCCATACAAGGATGAGGATCAGCTGGATCCCCAGAGCACAGGCAGAGAAGCAAGTGTAGCAACAGGTACCTATAACAATGCTGGAGAGGAAGAAACGGGGGATCACTGCCAGGAAGCTCAGCCGACTCAAAGAGCCCTAGATGCCACTGAGATACCCTGTCTCAAAAACAACATATTGCCAGCAGAATAGCTCAGTGGGTAAAGGCCCTGACCATCAAGTCTGAAGGCCTGAGTTTGATCCCCAGGACCCATGTGGCAGAGGAGAGAACAACTCTCAGACGTGACCCTGTGACTTCCTGTTTGTGTGTACGTGTGTCCTGACTCACAAACCCCAGCACACATACACACAAATAAAAAAAAAATCCTCGGGAGGCAGAGGCAGGCGGATCTCTGGGAGTTCGAGGCCAGCCTGGTCTACAAGAGCTAGTTCCGGGACAGGCACCAAAGCTACAGAAAAACCCTGTCTCAAAAAAATCAAAAAAAAAAATCCTAAAATCATCTACACCTGGATACTCACACAACACCTGGACACTCACACTAAGAAAACTAGCATGCACTGCCTAAGTGTAACAGATTTAGTGTTTACAGTACATCTTACAATATTAATTCTTGGTAGATTACAAAAAAACATATACAGACAACAAGAAGTATAACTTAACTTGCTTATATTTCTTATTTTGAACCCAATGATCACTTTGCTTAATCCTCCATTTGCAGGTTCCAGTCATACCATAAATTACAATTAGGTTTTAAATAAATTTTTAGAGCATATGTAATTAAGTTATTAAAGCTGAAATTGCAATAAGGCATCTAAAACAAGGTAGCAGCTGCACTGGGAGAAAGCACATCCCTAGCGCTCTATGAAAGGGTCCCTTTTTCGTGCACTACAAATGAGGACAGGCACTTACCTCGGCAATACTCCATTAGAATAAGCACCTCCCACACATTGTCACTAATGGAATTGACAGCACAGTCCAGATAACCAACAATATTCTTGTGGCCAGATAGTTCCTTCTGTGAAAAATAAATGAAACCTTTAAAACTAGGAAATATAAACCTTAAACTTCTACAAGTAAAGGTTGTAAGGCTAAATAAGTAGACTTGATACATTTCTAAAAGTAAGAATAAGGCATGAGAATATTGTATTTCAGCCAGTAGTTTCTATGGTGAATTTTTCATTGGAAGATTGAATGCATATGTGACAGTCATCATCCAGGATAAACAACCTAGAACCATTTGTTTACAAGCTCAACCAATCCAGTGATAAAAGCAACACTCTTCCCAAGGGCTGGCCACACAGCTCAGCCAGTAAGACACTTATCACTAAGCTGAAGACTTTTACCCAGGACCAACCTGGTGGAAGGAGGAAACCAAGCCCACAAGCTGCCCTGACCTCCACTCATGCCACCCCTAATATATCCACACAAATAAATCTAATTTAAAAAATAATCTTCCTGAGCTAGCAATGGTGGTGCAGGCCTTTAATCCCAGCACTCAGGAGGCAGAAGCAAGTGGATCTCTGGGAATTCAAGGCCAGTCTGATCTACAACAGCTAGTCCCAGGACAGGCTCCAAAGCTACGGAGAAACCCTGGCTCGAAAAACAAAACAAAACAAACTTCCAAGATAAGTGCATAATACAGTCCTCTAAAATTGAAGAATAAATTATTAGAACTCTAATTATATCTATCTAAAAAATGAAGGAATTAAGTTCTAATGTTAGCTTTCATGTTTTCCTAAGCAACTCATGGGAACGTGTACTTTTCACTAAATCTAAAACAGGAAGAAGTGGCCAGAAAACATGTGTGAAAAAGAGCCACAAATTAAAGATAACACTAATGATGTATTCAAGCAATAACAAAATGCAAGATCTAAAAAATTTTCCTCCTTTAACAAAATGGTCATCAGCATAGAATGAGGCTATAAACCAGGCCGGAGATATCTCAGGGGTAACTGCTGCTTAGCACACATGAAGATCCAGGAAGGGGCCACAATTATCTTCAATGAATTTATAAGTACTGTCATTAATAATATACCTAGTTTCAACTGTGCAAAGTAGTCTGTGATTGGGACTACCAAATGTAAAACATGTTAAATCATACAGTGGAAAAGAGGTCAATAAATAAATACAAGCAGCACTCCACAACTCCACAGCTCCACAGGCCTCATCGCCCTACAACGCCTTGTTCAATGGAAATCTGACTGCTGACAGACATCACTTCACACGTCTCATAGCCACACAAACGCTGCCAAGCAGAAGAGTATGGCAGAGGACTACATCATCTAGGCTCGAGTTAGAAAGTTCAATCTAGACTTTGCCATTTTGTTCAAGTAATTCTTTTTCAAACTTTTGGCTAATATTTTTACTTTTGAAAGGTCTCAAAGCATCTCTAAACTAGATAAGGAATAGAAACAATAGAAATTCAAAGAATCAGATCACAGAAATATCCTTATTTTTTAGGTGTTGATAAAGACATTGATATAAATGAGAAATTGCCCTCAGCAGTAAGATATGTGGGACAGGCATTAAGAGTTCTCCTTAGTAGTCAGCCTTGTGGAACAGGTATTAAGAGTTCTCCTTAGTAGTCAGTTATGTGGGACGGGAATTAAGAGTCTCCCTCAGCGGTCAGCTATGTGGGACAGGCATTAAGACCCACTGCCAGGAAGAACATTCATGGTTCAGTTGATGAACAACAGACTGGCTGTTTCTTAGAAGTTTTTGAAAAGGAACATAGGTATATAACAGAAAGAAAGAAAGAAAGAAAGAAAGAAAGAAAGGAAGGAAGGAAGGAAGGAAGGAAGGAAGGAAGGAAGGAAGGAAGGAAGGAAGGAAGAAATTGAGGACTCAAAGACAGTAACACACCTGTGCACAGCAGTTAGCTAGTCACAGAAGCCAAAAAAGTAGAGACAGTCTAAATATCTATCAAAGGCATTGGGGGAAGTAGAAAGGAAAACCCATTGTACAACTGCATTTACAGAATGAAATTAACAGGAAAGTGGGTAGGGTCTTTTAGGGGTTATGAAAAGCTTTTGAAACTGCACAAGGGTAGTGAATATACAGGATTATGAATGTGCTAACTAATTCATTTTCTATTATCTGAAGTCAAGCTAAGACATATGCACGTGCATGCAGGTGTGCACAGGTAAAAACTGCGACGGAAAGGGGAGGAGCATGAGAAGCAGAAGGCCCAGAGAGCACTGAATGCGGAAAAAGGATGTGTCGCTTCAAGACCGTGCTGTGCTGTTTCCTTGGTCACTGATTTTCTGCTAGTCTATCAAGACACCTTTCCTCTGCCTAGTATTTAGTAATACTTCCATTGCTGAGGGACAACTGGCCTTACAATGCAGGAAAAGCAGGTAACACTGTCAGGTAAACTTTAAACTTGATGTTTAAAGTGTGTAATTCCGTGAACTGTTCTTTCCTCCCAATACCCCACACTCAATGAATATGAAAGGAGAGAGCATGCTGCTTGGGAGCCCACACTGAGAAGGCAAGGAAAGGGCGGCCATTGCATTCTGTCCCAGCTGAATGCAATCAACTACCAATTCCCACATAATAATTCAACTGAATGATTTTTCAAGTTTGGATAAACTGATAATGTCTAAAAATCTGTGACTATTGTAGCACAAAACAAAAAGAAATGCAGCCAGATTTCTAAAATGAACTTTTCTCTCACCATAATTGTGATTTCCCTTTTACAAATGTTGAGGTCAGGTGTGTTATTGACATACATTCGCTTCAGTGCACATCGGATTCCACCGTGAGTCCGCACCAGGAAAACAGTTGAGAATCCACCTACAAGAGGAAGCACCAATTATTTTAAAACAATCACAGACTATCATCAAAATTATATACTATAATTTTTACTGGGCGTGGTGGTACACGCTTTAATCTTAGCACTCTGGAGGCAGAAGCAAGCAGATCTGTGAGTTCAAGGCCAGCCTGGTCTACAGAGTGAGTTCCAGGACAGCCACGGCATACACACACACACACACACTCACATACACACACTCATACATATACCATCATTTATATATAGCAGAGGAAAATAGTCGAGGACTATATTTAAGACAAAAATAAGTAGAGCAAGCAGTTTATTGATTAAGAGCCAAGCACTGCTATTTCCTGTGTCAATCAAGGAACAGCATTTTCAGAACCATATGATTCTCAAACGAATCTGCTTCTATTTTAAAGGACACATGCAAATCTCACTTTCCCACAGAAATACTTGGGACGAGATAGGCACACACGTCTTCACACACCTAGCCTGACAGTACTTGTCATCACCCAGCCATCTTCATGACAGTGCACAGCTACTACTTAATACTCAATAGAGCTGAGCTGGGACAGTCGGACCCTCCTCCAATTACAGGGATGAGGTCACCATATTTTAAGTCAATCACGGAATCTCACTTTGCTTATCAGCACCTGACTTTAGGATGAATACTGACCAGCTCTTACTCATGGGTGTAAGTTAGGTAAAGTCTATTGGGATTGCAGGAATGGTTTTCCTGCCCAAATGAAAGTGCGTGGCAGAGAAGGCCCCATTTTTCTTTCCTACTTCTGTGTAAGATGATGCTTAGACATGTTGTCGACAGATAACCTATGCCATGGTAATCAGAAAGAAAAGGCTCCAAACACTGAGAGTGGGCTAGTGAATTAGCCACCTTCCCTCCAAACCTCTAGTGAAATCCTAAGTGCTTTTATCTACACCTTTACTGCGTATGAGAAAATACTTTACCTGATTTAAAGTCAATCATTTCTATCATAGCTAAGATAAGATTCTCACATTAAATTTTTAAGACTCAATTTTGATATAAAACATTCTATAGTTTATGTTTTTATGGCATATCAATTTTGTTAATACTACAATGGCATGATTGGTAAACTAGAGCTATAGTTGGAAAATATGAGACAAGGGTATTATGAGACACTGTAGACTCTTTCAAAATGCACAAGAGAAGAATCAGCAATAGATACAGATCTGACAGGGGAGAGGACAGAAGTATACACTGACAGAAGTAAATGTGACAATGAAAGTGACTGCCATCTGCACTGACCCAGAGTCCCTCCCCATCCTAAGATGGTAAGTACTCCAAAGAACAGCCTAGCCTTCTCAAGGCTCTGATGTGAAACAGTTCCATGGGACACCTATTGGAGACGCTATCTCCTCTCCACACACACGTCATGAATTAAATGATGGTATGCTTTGTTAAATAATTCTACCTAGGTTTTACAAGCTATTATACAAACGCATGGTTTCTGGTTTTCTTTAAATGAGTACTCCCATTCATGAAGAGCCAACTCTCCATCAGTATCAGGAAAAACAGCTCACGGGGAAATCTGCAAGCTGTTCACATATACTGCACCAAGATCAGAGCTGGGTTCAAAGGAAGATTGAGAGTTACAAAGCAGAGTTTGGCACACTGAGGTGAGGATGGAGTTGAGCATGAGATAGCAAAGCTGGGCAGGTGAGAGGCAGGTCAGGGCTCTGGCTGCTGACAGCTGCCCATGGAGCTAGCAGGAAGCCCTTGAGGAACACAGAATAAAGCACAGTGCCTGTGCTGACTAGTCTATGTGAACTTGACAGAAGCCAGGGTCATCAGAAAGGAGGGATCCTACCTGAACAAAATGCCTTCCTTCTTAAGATCTGGCTGTAGGCAGGCCTGTAGGGCATTTTCTTAATTAGTGATTGATGTAGGGTCGGAGAGAGTTCACTGTTTATGAGGTTATCCAAGGGCTGATGATCCTGGGTTCTATAGAAAGCAGGCTGAGTAAGCCAGGGGGAGCAAACCAATAAGAACCCTCCATGGCCTGCATCAGCTCCTGCCTCCAAATCCTACCCTGTGTGAGCTCCTGTCCTGACTTCCTTCAATGATGGGCTATGATGTGAAAATGTAACTCAAATAAACCCTTTTCTCCCACCTTGCTTTTGGTCACGGTGTTTCAGCACAGCAATAGTGACCTTGACTAAGAGGCTCTAGGTAAAGACTGTTTCTAACAAGAAGCTTCCACCTAGGCGACCACCTCTAGACATGGGGCTAAATATGAGGTAACCAAGACCACTGCAGCTCCTTCCTGGCAGCCATGAGAGAGGCAACTCTCCACCGTGGAGAAGCTACATGCTGAGCTATGAGAAAGTGAGAACAGAGAAACAGAGACTCGTGCTGCTACCTAGTGACTGACAGCAGAAAGCCAAGGTCAGTAACAACAAAACCTGAGTCAGAGACAGGCAAATCGGCAGACAGAACAAACACTATGTGTGACCATCACCCTGACTGGAAGCACATGGCTTCCTTTGGTTCGACCAATGTTAGCCTAGGGGCCTCCACCTTCGTCCCGTTTTCCTACAAAAACCCTAAACAGGAGTTTTTCCTCTCTCCTCCATCTCTCAGGAGTATCTCTTTTCCTTAGCTTCTCACTGTCTCTCTGTTCTACAAACCTTAAAGCTTGTGTGCACTTTGCATATTCTCACAAGAGTTCGCCCTTTTCACTTTCATTGGCATAAGACAACATGGAGCCACTATCTCAGGCAGATCTTTGGTGACCACTGAGTATCCAGCACCCTAAAACCCAGGGTCAAGCAAAACTGGGCAAAGGGTCCTGTCATACTGAAAAGCCTGTATCATAATGCACAGAATCTGTCATCAACGTAAGAACAAACACTTTCCCCTGGTTGTTTGTTCCATTGGTCTGCTAACCGTGTTTGCAAATGGAAAGCCTGTGTACCGTTTCTATGAGCGTAAGAAACAGCAAGAGAACACAGAGCTGTTTGCCCTGCACTGAGTAACTAAAGAAGAACATCACTTCCTTCAGAGGCACTGGAATGTCAGATGTGAGGAGCTGTGTTGTTTGCTGACATTTTTTAAAGGAATATAAAGTATTCTCCCTTAAACACATATTAAAGGAGGAGGAACATAACAAGAACCTTAAGATGAGGTACAGTGGGAAAGATGTACCGGCTTAAGCCCTGTAATACTGAGTTGGAAGTGCCACCCCAGCCTGCCAAGTGCTTGGATTCCAATTCTCAGCCTGCCAAGCGCTGACCCCTCCCCAGTGAGGGCCAGGACCACTCCCACAGGGTATTTAGGCTTAAGCGAGAAAAAGACCACGTGGCTTCGGGGTTTTACAGGGGCTCCTCTTCCCACCATGCTGTCTCGGTCCACCCAAGAGTGCTGCATTTATTAAACATGGGCATCTTAATTTGGTCTGATCTGGTTTGATTGGAGTTTCTTGCGTCAGCGGAGAGGCTTTTATTAAGATTAAACCAAACAAGCACCTTTAGAATGCTTGCATATTATGTTTAAACATTAGGAAGAGTTAAATGTGTTTAATTATTGGTTGACAGTAAACATCTTTAAAAATATCATTTCTGGATAAGAAAGATGTGTTTCAACAATTCATGTCAAACAACAGCTGTATGCTCAGGTGACCACTGGACTGATCACAAATTATTGAACCTACAAGGAGTCATGGGAACCTTAATATTTAGACGTCAGTACAAGATCTCAGAAACATGTAATACAGTCTTGCAATATACCTGATAAATACTGATGCGTTCACACAATTAAACTTCTTTACTCACCCTTGGATTTTATTTTTAAATCTCACCACTTCCTGTCTATACCACACAGCATAGTTGGTGCTATTTATTAAGAGGGGAGAAATTTCTTGAATCCGTTGTTAAAGCTAACATTTATTGATTTCTTTCACATTTTCTAACTATAAGAAAAAATGCTCTAAAGAAGTCCTCATTTAAAATTACCCACATGCAAACATGTATAAAGGAAATAGGGTAAAATGCAGTTAGTTACATCTAGATGGTAGCCATAAAGCTACTCCCCAAAGTACTTTTCCACCTTTTTGTATGCTTTGTAGTTTCTACTACTGAGCTATATCCCTTGTCCTTTTATTTTGAAACAGCGTTTCATCATGTAGTCCAGGCTGGCCACCACCTCCTAAGTGCTAGAATTACTGGTACAAAGATCTCCATCCAATTCTAACAATTCTACAGCCCCAGGCTCAGTCCATCTTGTCATACCTATCTATACGGAGGAATCAGGAGCATGGTATATCCTTTCCCAAGCCTTCCTCTCTTGCCACCCAATGTTACCTCCACCACTGAGAACTAATATTTCCTAAGAAAGACACTACTGATGATTATACACTTGAGACTTTCCCTAAGGAACTGTTAAGTCTCTTAGGACAAAAAAAGTTTATGGTAGCCTAGAAACCTTCAGCTTCAGCATCCCAACACAGGAAACACTGCATGTTTATCAAACTCTTGGACACAGGTGGAGAGAAAGAGGGACAGGAAGATAACACCATGTGGTCTTTTTTCCTCCCTGTGCACTTCACCAGTAAAGTAAAGACTGAACTATCAGCAACTCTTAACTCCAACCATTACCAAAGAAAACAAAGTGACTTTGACGCTATCTTCAAGATAAGTGGGAAAGACAGCAGGCTAGAAGAGTTCCTCCTCCCACTGAAGGCTCTGGGCTCTCGGGAACAACAGAGCCCAGGTTAAGTCAGCAGATCCAAGGCTTTCTCCTGAAAACAAGGCTCTTCCTTAGAGGAATGATTACTAACTTACATTCCTGCCAAAGCCACTGTTACCACTGAGTGCAATGAATCAGAACTGAGGGGAAAGACACACACTTCATTTCACTCCAGCATTTCATTTATTTCCACGTTACAGATGAGAAAGAGACCAAATGATGAGGAAGGAGGCAGACAGACAAAGCCAGGCCTCTTGTTTCCCCTATAAAACTCACCTTCAACGATTCTCACAGCCC